GCCAATCCGCGCTTGGTGCGCACCAAAAGCCCCGTCTCTCCATGAGCGACCAGGACCCTTTTCACGGTCCGCTGCAGCATTGAGATCACGCACAATCTGCCTGGGGTCGAAAGGACCGAGGGGCTTGCCTCTAGCGGGGTTGAGCTCCGAAGGCATCCGTCGAACACTGATGTTCATGCCAGTTGCCAAGGTAACCGCCCCCAACTGCCAACAAACCCTGTTCATAGTTTTTGCCCTAGATCTCCCCTTTGCCCAGGAAAGCGTTGCTGTCAAACTGTCACTAAGCACCAGATGCCGCTTCCCGTGAGCATGTTGAGACCGCGCTAAATGCTGAAAAAGCCAAACGAGGGCTCTGCCCTCAAGAATCGGAATTGCTTCGGACCTGTTCCACTTGGCCGACTCAACCCTCCTCCAAGGCCCCTCCAGCATTTCCAGCGGCACGTCCGGAACCTCACCCCCGGGCATCCCGGCCACTGCTTGTTTTGCTTCTTCCGGCTTTCCGCTTTCGCCCAAGGGCTTGTCGCCTGCCAGGACGGGGTGTCCAATAATTGAACCCTCCTCCTCGACAGAGAACCTCCACCGATCGGAACACTCTCCAATTGCTTGAATATCAGAAGCTGCCCTGTCCGTCACAACAACTCCTCGCCCCCAAAAAGACGCATCAGTTGCGAATACCGAAGTGGCCCACTCAGCAGACAGGTCCCTAAACACAAGGGGAAGCAGCGATGACGCCCAGAATAGTTCTCGCTTTACCTCGGGCCACAAAACCACCTCCTTGTCATAGCACCGCCTGATGAAAACGTAGACCGCCTGAAAACAACTGAGAACCTCCCGCCGTAGAAGAGCAGCAAAAGTGAAGTGCCCAATGAGTTTCTCCACCAACTTGCCGGACGCCCTTCCCTCCTTCAGCAGCTCTTGTGTTGCTAATCTCAACCTCCACAATCTCTTCGGGTAATCTGCACAATTGGGAGCTTGTCGCCAAACTTCCACCCCAGGCACTCCAGCCCCACGCCAGCCTCGACCTCGTGAGTAGGAAGTCCCCTCTCTGAAAGCTTCTTCCCAACCTTGGCAGCCAATGAACACACTAGTCCGGACTCTGCGAAAGTGCCACAAAGTTGTCAACGTACTCAGTGTGGATGAACGGGCTTATTTTGGGAATCGGCGCACTGTCGACAAAACGCCCTGCCCGCCCAATGTCCTCCATCCCAGCCACAATACGCTCGTGACATTGCTGACACACCCACAAAGCATGGGTCCACCCCATTGGCACAACTCTGAAGCAAGGGAAAACCATTGCGTCATCAGGACAGGGTCCCTCAACCGTCTCTGACACTCCCGCATCACGACAAACCAGCGGCGATAATGCAAAGAGATCACGCAGAGGTGCAGGAAGCTCGATGTTGTAAAAGGCGTCAGAGATGTCGACACCTCCCACCTCCAGCGGGCTTCCATCATCAACTTGAATCTTTGCAACAGCGCTACCTGTAGCAAGGTGAACTTTCTTGGGTTTCCCAAACCACTGGTTGGCCCGGCGGGAGTCAACCACCAGACGTTGCCTACCGCTCTTCTTCCAAACAGTGAAAGCTCCGACTCGTTCCCTGCAACCACGCCGGAACTCAATCAGCTCAGCTTCAAACAATCTCCTCACAAAAGCCGCATAAACACGTTTATGGCCCTTAAGAAGCGGATCATAGTATGGCCTACTCACACCACAGGCTTTCAGCCTCTCCCGAACCTCATCTTCGGGAAGAACTTTACTCACAACCACATCAGAAACATTCTCAGCTTCCCCTTTGAGGATTCTGTCCAGCGAAGCGGGGCAGCTGCTCTTCGGGGTGGTTTGGCCCGAAGCTCATTCAAGGCTTCCGAACCTGAAAAACACGGATGCGGTTTGCCAACCCCCGTCACCGCATCTCAAATTTGCTGAAGACACAAATGCTGGTCCAGAGTCACAGAATGGTTGTCCTCAAAACTGCCCCTGTGTTCCACCCCAGCGTACATACTGTTGAGGGTCACCACGATGTCCCTCACCCACTCCATGTGCAGGCGGCGAGTGACACATCTGCTGATAGGCCGCGTGGGGCCCGGGCCAACCATCTCCTGAGGCAGGGGTAGAGGGAAAATTCCACGCTGCCGATCACTCCCATTGCCGTGTAAATCAAAACTGTCAGCCAGTCCACCTCCTTGCACATCCCCCCTGCCAGAAAAACCAGCGTCAGAGTCACCGCAAAAAGGCAAATCAGCTTCCGAGGGCAAGGCCTCCATTGAGCCCTGCCGAGATGCTCCTGTGTCGCTTCGAAGCCGCGGCCCGCTCCTCGCGGGCCTTCCTGACCTGTTTCATCACCGCGGCCTCCTTCTCAATCTCCTTGGACACATACTCCATGAGGTCAGGACTGACCATCACATCGCCAAACTCGCGATGCGACCCAGCGAAGATGTTGGCCTCCATTTTGTAAAGCCCCTCCTCGTCCTTCTTGTCCTTGCCCTGACCACGGCCGGTCGCCTTTCCACCTCCCGGGCCCCGGTCTGAATAGAAATACTCGATCAGCTGCAGCCTCCGGAATGCCAGTTCGATCCCGGCCAAGTTGGCCAAGTCCAAACCGTCAAAACGCCCCAAACGATCAATCATCTTCATCAACTGCTCATGCTCTGCAAGTCCCCACGATTCCGGCTTCAAGGAATTGCTGGTAACCCACCACCTGTGATGATCGTTCGGGCCTCCATTCCGGCGATTCCACGCGGCCGTACGAGGGCCTGGGACACCCCAGTCAGGAAATGCCTCCTCCGACATTTCCCGACTGACGTCCCGCCAGACCCTCTCCTCCCGGGCTGTTCCCTGAAAACCCAGCCCGAGCAATCGCGCGTCCCCCGCCGCCTCCTGACCCTTGTATTTGCCCAAGTCCTCCTCCTTGACTCGCTTGATTGCTCGCCACGCTCCCTGCGCATTCTTCAGACCGATCTCTCCGTGGATGACCTCAGACCCATCCAAGGCTACTGCATCGCCCCGGGTTCCACCGCCCTCCGTTTCAATCAGTACCCAGGTGCGTCCATCTCCGTCACGGGGAGCATGCGCAGGCGCCTGCACTGCAACCACAGGGCCAACTGCCCCAGCCGGTGCCCCAGGGGGGAGGACCAATGCAGCTGCAGCATGACCCGCGTCCAGCCTCATTTGCGCCAGCTCAGCTCCCGGCAAATTCCGAAAGCGATACGCGTTGGCAGCTTGAAGACCAGCCGGAAGCCCCCCATCAAGACTTGCCCTGAAGGTACTAAGGTCACTATTTTCCAAAGAGATCTGCTCAGGGTAAACGTCCATGTCAGGGGTCAGCACGATGCACCATCCTCGTCCGCAAGGGCAGCTAGCCAACACAATCCGTTCATGATATAGATCATGCGGAGCCACGTCATACAGCAAGAAAACCCTAGCGTCCACCGGCAGCGACATCTAAAACCCTCAAGGCCTTTCGACTTCGAATCAGCCGCAGTTGCTCCTGTGCCTTGCTTTGTAAATCCTCCACCGCCGGGCTGTCACCACTGCCTTCTTCAGTGATCTCTGCTTCGCTCCACTTCACCCAAGCAGACTTGGCCAATGACACTGACTTCTCAAATGCCCTTCGCCCAACACTGAAGAGAGAGCCAGCCAGAGCCCACAATGCCCCCTTTAACAGCTCCCAAAAGAAGCTGTTGCCCGGGCACACTATGGGTTCTAGCTGGCACGTGCAGTTGCAAACACAGCTGTGATCCCAACGTGTCTGCTCAGCCTGCCAGGCGGCCAACCATGTGAAGCAAAGGGCTAACCACCGGAGCATCTAAAAGCTTGAGCATGAGGGCCGCGGCCCCTTTCAAAAATGCTCCTCAAGTTCCTGTGAACAGAATTGGTGTTCGGTTTTGGGTTGGGACCCGTAAGCCAGGTAGGTCATTTTTCTTGGGGTGTCTTGAATGGACCTCAAGCTGCTCCTTGTACCTCGCACGCAGCTCGCAGAGCATGTGTGTCATGGTGATCAAGGACGTCCTCGGATTTTCTGGCTCAATATTGCGGGGGCCGGGGGAAAAAAGTGTTGGGCCCTAGACCAAAACTCACTTCCTGAGTGGATTGGCCAAAGAACACTTAAACTTGTTGTTCACCACCAAAATAGTCTTCCCAAAAAGTTCAAAGTCCAGGTACTCTGGCCGATTCCCTTGGAAAGAAGACAAAAGGTGGACCCAAAGACTGGACCCCCGCTTTTGACAAGGGGCTTCTGAATCCCCCAGCCGCGCTTGGCCTCTTGAAAAGCAGGGCCAAGAAAGGGTGTCCAGCCAGCCTCTTTGTTTCTGTCGGCCTTTCCAACCTTGGACAACCTCTTCTGGTTGCACCGTCTCCTCTTTTCCAAGAAAAAAGGTCGCAGGAAAAAAATCACGGCTTCGGCGCCGAGAGCGCAGAACCAGCAGCAACCCGCCCCCCTTCCGGAGCTTGGCCGGCCCCAAGCTCCGCCCAAGATTTGGCCCGGGATCGCCTTTCGGAGGCTCCGAAGCGACCTGCTGGCTCTTTTGCTTGTGGCTCACCCCCAAAACCGGACCTCGGTGGCTCCCAACCTCAAATGACCTGGTAGAAACTTGGAAGGGGCTGGCTTTCGAGCAGCGCTGCGGAAGATGACCTCTGTGATACAACAAAATCGGCTTCCCAAAGACTAATCCACCATACAAAAGGGAAGATTCTCTTGTGTCACAGAAGTGGGGGATAAACCCCTTGATCCCGAATCCCTGCTTTCGAGGGTTGTGAGAACCAAGTTGTGTCTCTCCTGGACAACTTGCTCAGGCCTCGGTGGGATAGCTCAGGTAAGGTTGCAGCGAGCGGGGGGTTGACACTTAGAGGGCTGCCATGTCACCTCCTCCAAAAGTGAGGTTGGACCACGGATGCTCCACCCACCGTATCACCGAGTGGGCTGCAACAGGTACAACTGGGGTAAAAAAAAATGGGGATCTCCTCAAACTGAGCTCAAATGGCTGGTGTTTCTGTTGTCTTCCCTAAGACCATCCAAATGCAACCGGGCTCCTCAACAACCGCCATTGGCCGCGGATTTGCGCCGGTGAGGGCTTTGACGCCAGACATGACCTGAAGCCGCTGGTTCTTGTAAATGGGGAACTAGCAAGGGGGAAGTTTCATGAAATAAATGGAATATGTATATATATATATATAATTGTTCTTTCAACTGTTCATAGTTTGAAACTGCATGAAACAGTTTATTAAAGTTGGAAGCAACCCACTGGGTCTGAATAAACTGAATTTCCATTGGGTAAGCTGACAAGGGGTTCCCCCCTCAAAAACAGCTCTTGGAAAAAGGAAGCAACCCATAGGTCCTTGTCCATGGGTTTCCATTACTCCGGGTATACTGCAATTCCGAAACTCGAACTTAGGGAACCCCAGTTCTGAGACGTTTCCATTTGGCAGTACCCGTTTCCATTTGGAAAGTAGAATTCATTTCAGGTCCAGATAAATCCCCGTTTGCCCAGTTGCAGTCCTCTTGGCTCTTCACTTTGTCAAGCCCGCCCTCGTGTTTAGCCAACCCACTGAAGGACCGGGGTTCTGATCCAGTTATCAAGTTCCTTCCTGGGGGGTCAGAATGTTCCCACACGTCAGCCAAAAGCAGAAGGGGGCTCTTGTTTTTTCCCTAGCCGCACCACAAATGCAATTCTTCAAACTCAGCCACGTGAAGGGAAACCACCCCAGTGTCTGACTTTTACCCCAAGAAACACTCCAAACAAATATCCCAAACAGCACGCCCCCAAGCTTTACAGCGAAGCTGAAGAAGCGTCCGATGCTTTTATCCACGGCTTATGCGGCACCGACCACAAAAAGTGCATCCAAAAGCTCGATAATGGTTTGGGAAAAGAGAAGAGAGTCGCATGTCTGAGGGTGCCCAAAAATGTGCTTTCAGGGTGTGTAACGTATACCTTGCTTCCCGGCAGAGATGGTAGTCTCATGAAACATATTCACCCTCTACATGGTGCTTGAAAGGGGGGGAGCTAATTTTGACCACCCCTCGTAATCTTCCCAAATTTGCCGCCGAACCCGCAAAGGGGGGATGCCGCCCTTGAATCTTGTTCTGATTGATTCGGGTTCTTTAATGTGCCTATGGGGAATTGGGCAAATGTCAGAACTTCCGTGTGTCGAACACAACCCATTCTGTGATACCAAAGTGGGTCATCCCTATGACGGTTTTGTTTGGTTGAAGGCGGGTTCCCTTGGTACCCGTGGATGGAGAAAGCCTACACCAGTTGAGATTGACGAAGCCTCACAATGCTGGTCGATGAACACGTGCCAACTCGTGCTTGGCGTCTTTGCCCATCCCCAACATGGTTTTGCCAAGCCCAAGAAAAACGGGGCCCTATCACAGAAGCTGGGCCACACACCTGATGTCCCACCCACGTTCTTGCTGATTCTCAGCAGGGAATGAGGCATGGAATGACCCCCATAAACCATCAACTTGTGCTTTCCTTTAAGGGAATCCCCTTTTGGTTCCTTCCCAACACCCGGACTCGTCATTCCCTTCCTGCACCAAGTGTTTTCGCTGAGCGGCAGCTCCTGCACCAGAAGTGTCGCTTCGGAGCTTCTTTTCGCGTCCAGGCACCGCTGGAAAAGGGGCACCAGCTCTTTGAGGCCTTAGATCGACCGTTTCTCCCCTGGAAACGGGACCTGTGGATCGTACCAAAAGAGTACCAGAAAAGGACTAACGGCGGGGGAAGAACGGGACAAATCCACAAAAAACGCATCCAAATGGTTTTCTAGATTGGCCTGGTCTCCAACAACAACAAATTCGCGGGCCAAAACCGGCTGCGGGTCAAAGAAGCAGCGTCTCGGTTACATACCCACTAACAATTCAGGGGAACACCCAAATTCTAAGACAATGGGGTCAAACAAAAGGGACTCCAAATGAGTGGGCTCCGCAGTACCGATGGGATGATCCAAATTTCTCACACCTGACCTGGACGTTCCAGTGGTTAGCCGAACAACCAGGGTTAGCTCCAACAACTTACTTGACTTGGCTGAACACCCACGTTCCAAAACAATGGCCTTGCAAAATGCCGGAATATACTACCACATTTGGGGAAAGCAGGTCCAAAGGTCGACTCGGAGCCGTTGTTTGAGACAACAAGCGAAGAAACCCAGCGAAAGGTAGCTCTGGCATGTGTCCAAATAGCGAATCTTAAAATGGAGGCGTGCGATTTCTTGTTTCCCTATAAGCCAAGGTGAAAAGGATACCCTCAAGAACATGCCCATGTTCTGGGACGAAGGATGCCTGGACAGAATGCGGGAAGTACCTAGTTCACTCCATGAGCTCGTTCAAAAAAGATACTTATAGCAGAGGGGACATAAGCTGAGGTATCCTGTTGGAGAAACCGATGGCGCTGGTATACCAGTAGAGCTAGCGAAGCCGCTGGGCGGAAGTTTCAAGTATAAAAACTGTGGTTGTCTTTCGCTTTCTTCTCTTGATTATTTTCATCGCTTCCTTTCTTTCCATCTTTCTTTCTTGACTTCTACGTTCGTTGTCGTAGTCCTTCTTCAGTCTTTCTTCCTTTCTTCCTTCTTGTCATTCGTCCTTCCTTCCTTCCTTCCTTCCTTCCTTCCTGCCTGCCTGCCTGCCTGCCTGCCTGCCTGCCTTCCTTCCCTCCTTCCCTCCTTTCCTCCTTCCCTCTTTCCCTCCTTCAATCCTCCGTCCCTCCTTTCTTTCCTTTGTTGCCCGCCTTCCCTCCGAATTAACTCGGTGCCAAAAATGGCACGGCGATTCGCCATGGAGCCCGGATAGGGAAAGGGAAAGGGAAAGAGGAGCTTTAGGTACCAACACCACTGAGTGTTTAGGTTGGGGGGCGACACCACCACTTACTGTTTAGGAAGGGGGGGGCTCGGGTTTCGGGGGGGGGGGGGTTCGGACCTCTCTCTCTCTCACTCTCTCTCTCTCTCTCTCTCTCTCTCTCGCGCCAACTAGCTAGCTCTCGAGCTAGGCTGCTCAGCTACATCCCTAATTTGTTTATCTCTTGTTTGTGTATCTCTTACACCTATTCATCAATCTATCTATCTATCTCTCTATCTCTATCCACCTATCTGTCTGTCTGTCTGTCTGTCTGTCTGTCTGTCTGTCTGTCTGTCTGTCTGTCGTTGCTCCAGGCCCTCTGTTGCATCTCATTCTATTCCAACACTCGGGCCAACTTACATCTGGCTGAGTCCGTCTATCTAGCTTATTTATCCTCTTTATCTATTTTCTACCAGTCATCTATCTAGCTAGTCTTTCTATTTATCTATCTCTCTATCTAGCGAGTATACCTATCTATCTGTTTGTCTGTCTATCTTTCTTTCTTTTTTTCTTTCTTTCTTTTTTTCGGTCTCTCTCTCTCCCTATCTATCTATCCATCCATCCATCCATCCATCCATCCATCTATCTCTCTGTCTCTCTGTCTAGCTATTTGCCTATCCAATAGTCTGTCCACGCAACCAACCTTACATCTCCCACTGCACTTTCCTGCGTTGCATCAGACACCGGGGATGCTGCCCACAAGGAGGCAAGCGCTTCTCCTGTCAACCACACCAACCGCCTGGCCTTGCGAAAGTGTTGCGCCTGCCACGCAATTTGCACTTGACCTGGCGAAAACGCTGCGCCTGCCACGAAATCTGCACCTGACCTTGCGAAAATGCTGCGCCTGCTACGAAAGCTGCACGCGCCAGCGCGCGCGCGACCGTGCCACATCAAATCTATACCTGACCTTGCGCAAGGCTGCCAAAGTGCCTCGCCTGCCACGAAATCTAAACGCCAACGAAACAAAATAAATGCTGCGCCTGCCACGCTCTGTACCTCAGCTCGCCAAAACACTGCGCCTGCAAAGCTGACATCGCGAAAAGCGAGCGCGTCCGTGCCAATGGGCCCGGGTCCGAGACCGTTCCGCACCCGTTCCGCACCTTTCAATCAGCGTCCGTAACACGGAAGTTACTTCTAAACTTCCGTTGATAATCGGAACACCATAGTCAATTCGCAGGGTTTATGCCCCAAAGATACAGTACGCAGGGAAAGTGCAAACCCTGCATTTGTCCCATGCGCTGTTGGTTGGGCCCGTTGCAGCCCTAAAGAATCCTTCAAACTAAAGAGGCCTGACATGGGGAAGCGCCCTCTGAGTGACTGGGGTTGCAACCCAACTTTCGGAAGAAACACACCCACGTTGGTGCGCTGGCAAGTACTGTGGATAGACAACAAAAATCCACACGGATCCATCGGCACCAGTAGTGGAGCATGATCTAGCTTTTGTAGTCTCATCCATCCCGACTCATGCGTGGTGCAGATTTTGTCCACCATGGAGCCCAAACTTCTCAAACACATGTGGCAAAATATGGAAACTTGTTCGACCCGAAAAAGAAAAATGTTCAAGGCCCGGGCTGGCAAAGACCTTGGCCTCCGCAGTTTCCGGGCTCCTGGGCGTTCCACTGCGATCCCCAAAAGAAAAAAACTGCGAATGGAGAACTCCTGCACCAGTTGGGGGGGGGGGGGGCGCGTCTCCAGGTGGGGCTGCGCAACACAAGTTCGAACCCTGCGACCTTCCATTTCGGAGGATCAACCCGTTTCGATTGGCGGCCATGCCTGACTACATTAAACCTACAGAAACCCCCACCACCACCTCCATCACCACCCCCAGCAAACGGGGAGAGTCCTCTTGATCTCTTCCGCTGCAAGGCGGGGTGAGCAGGTTAAGAATGGCCCGTGAGGATCAGAGGCACCGGAAAAATCGCTGAGGAGGCACTGAGGCCACATCTGTTTCCGTGGCAACCTTCTGAAAGTGCCCGAAAGGGGAAATCTGAGCTTCCCTTCGCTGCCACTACAAAAAAAAAAAAAAAACATTCAGAACCCAAGTCTTTAGTGATGTCCCTTAAAAACAACCTGGGAAAATCAAACGAATCGCCAAATCACTTTGGCAAAAGGAAGCTAAAGCACACGAGGCCAAGGCGCCCCAATGCACGGGCCCAGTCGCGCAGGCAGTCGCGCAGGCCTCGCGACTCGCACAACACTGGTCACAATCAAAGATTGCTAAAGGTCCCTCACCAATGTAAAGACTTTAAAGGCCGGATATCCACAACTATTTATGCTTGGGACTGTCTGCTACGCTTCATCGCCTGGGCTTTGAATGTGCCTTTAGAGGGTTCCAGCACAGGCCCCACGGCACCCCCTAAAACTAATGCCCTTTGAGGGGGCAAACGAAAGGACAAGGCGGTTTGATGAGAAATGGCAGTGGCCTCGTCGGAGCTGCCATTTAAACCAATCCCAAAGGTGCTTACTCGTTTTTACACACATGTGATTGGTTCGGAAGACATCAAGCTGCTGGCTCAATCGCATGTCCACACTTGGATTTCGGGATATCTCTGGACCATCTTGATGGCTTCCGCAACGCCCCAAAGCGTTACCCTCTCGTTGTGGTTGATTTTAAAGGGAAACCTCCTCCAACAAAACCAGAAGAAGGGCACCCCTTGAGCTCAGACTCAGAACCTCAAAATAGCGTCATAGCCCCTAATTGCAATCCATGAGTTTGCTCAAGCAATCAAAATAAAAACACAAAACGTGCTGAGAGTTGACATCAGACCCGCAATAAGTTTTCCCGCCGGCCATTCCTATTCCCATTCGAGGGTACCCCCCTTTTTGGTGGTTGTAGAGGGAAACCAAGAGGAAAACCACTTGCTTTTGGGCGGAAACCCCTTTTTGTTTGGGAGGGTTACCTTTTTCGTGGTTCTGAAGGGAAACCCACAGAAAAAAACCGCTGTTTTGCGGGAGGTGCCCCAAAAACGCACAACCCCACCCTGGTCCGACACCCCGACGCCGCGAGCGCACCTGCGGGTTTCACCAAGGCCCCAAACAGCCGGCGCAACGCCCCGGCCGCTGCCTTTCGGTCGCCAGCGGCGTGGCTGTTTCCGTGGTGTGCTCTGGCCGTGAGCGCCTGAAACCCATGGGACAGTTTCTCCGTTTTGTGGTTTTTGGTCGAGGAGCTTACCTCTGATGCAAGAGAGAGAGAGAGAGAGCTGTTTTGTTGCCGAAACCCATGGATTTGTTTGTCTCAATCTCCTGAGCCATGGTCAAAACTCCTTCTCTTTTTTTTAACGGGGGGGTTGCCGATTGGGTGATGGTTCTGTTAGGAATCGATATGATGGCGAGTGGTGATTCGTGATCCTTGCCAGGTGGATAACCGTCCCTAACCCCAAGTAAAAGTGTCGTTTGAGCATGGCACACAGAATTCTAAAGATCTACATGGCAAACCCTATTAAACCATGTAGACCAATAGAGGTTTTGGGTGCGTCTCCTTTGAGCATCGCAAAGAAAGTGAAATTGGCAACCACAAGCTGGTTAACAAAACCACAAGGGAACTGCCAGGACCGCTCCACCACCCCATACTACCCCCATACCACTACAAGGATCATATAAGTTCCATGTCTCCTTGGCCATTTGAAAGAAAAGCCCAATTTAGGCTCCCAATCAATTTTCAAACAAAGAATGGGAAACCAACCGTTCAAGCGAGGGTACCAACACATTTTGAGTCCATGTTTGTCAAGCCCCCCACCCCCCCCCACCACCCGCCACCACAGGAGATCCACTCCGGCCTCGCTGGCGGTGCAGCGCAGCACGGCCTGCAAAGCCTCCTGGAAAACTGGACAGCAGGCATCTGCATCATGGCACTAGGCTGGAAAAAAGGGACCCCAGCAAAAACTTATCATGTTTGCCTGGTGAGTGGAAAACAAAGGCACCAACCTTTGTTAAAACATCGACCAGGGGAGCTATTTCTGGGGAAGGGTTGTCTGGGCGTGGGGCTTGGGTGTTCAGCCATGTAAGTTGTTACCTACCAGTACCGAGGTTGCAACCCACTAGTCCCCCCTTCCGCGGAGATAACACTGTGTGGGTTACAACCCAAGTGGCTAACCGCCTGCTCACTTGCCCAAATTACCCATTTGGCCATGGGTTGCAAAACCTATGGCTCCATTTTGGGGTGGATGAACATCCATTTGCCACCTATTTTGATGTTCACCAGGGGTACCGGGTTTTGGGTGGCTTGGAGGAGGCTTTACACCCCACTCCAACCCTTCCACCCGAAGCCCACGAGGCTCCTGCAGCTTCGCAAGGGCGGCGCCTCTTTTTGAAAGCGCCTGGCGAAGAACACGATTCCGCGCTTCCCAAGCGATTCGGCCATGACGCCGGCACGGGAATATGGGGCTTGTGTCTGAAATGAGGCACCCCAAGATGAAACAAACCCAAAATATACATATATATATATATGTATATGGTAACCCCCCCATGGACCCTGGTTTGGTGCGTTTGACTATCCTCCCACCCTTTCACATGGAACCTGACGTTCGGGGGGTCCGGGTTCCATGTAAGAAAGGTGGGGGGGGGGACCTGAAAGAATACAACCAATGGACATCCAGGATACGGAAGCGCGGCGGTTCTTCACCTGTTGGAAGCAACTCGAAGATCTGGCACCCTCCAATTGGTGGTTTCGAGCACGGTTTGGATTTGGATTTGCACGGGTAAATGGGAACCCCTCCGAAAAAAACACCAACCCTGAGAAAAGGACCCTAAAAGAAAGAAAGAAACGGCCAAGGCGATTTGGGGTAGGCGTGGTGCCTCCTTTTCTGTGCTTCTCAGCTGGTGCAAGGCCGTCGCAAACTCAGAGCTGGTCCATCACTTTAGCGCGTATTCTCGGGGTGCTACAGGTGACTCACCAAATTATTGCAAGGAAACGGGGGAACCACCCTGCCCTATCATAGATGGCATTTGGCTGACTTGCAATGTGAAGGCAATTTTTCACAACCCGTTTCTGAAGAATGTTGCGTCGCTTCCTCTGTTTGGACGCGACCCATTTAGACACCGTTGCAACTTGGCCGTGCCTCGGAATGAAGCCGGTCGATCCTGTCGGCATGTTGCTTCATCTGCGCGAGGACCTCCAAGCACATGCGCGCCCTTTGCTCAAAATTGGTGGGTGGCCTTGTGGACCCCCAAAATGGTGGCCGGTGTTTGTTTTGAAAACACAAAACGGGATATCTCAAAAGACGCACAGCCATTTGAACGTGCTAAGAGGCTTGCATTCGACGCACCACTGCGGCACTCGAGCGACCAAGCTGGGCGACTCAATTTCAACAAATCCAGAGCTGGGTGGCAACATTCCAAAGATCCACAATCCCACAGGGGCGGGCACCTACACCTTTGTCCGAAAATGGGACCGGTCCCGTTTTCGGATCGTTTTTTGGGGGTCTCCACACAGTCACACACACACACACACGGCCCGTCATGTTGGTGGTTTCTCCGGTCTTCATACTGTGGACCGGACGAGATCCGTCGCACCACGAAGTGAAACCAGGGGAATGAAACTAGCAGGTCTGTTGGTATTGAATGAAACCAGGGGAATGAAACTGGCAGGTTTGTTGGTATTGAATGAAACCAGGGGAATGAAACTACCATGGCATCTCCGCCGGGGAATCTACTCCCCCTGGCGAAATGGACTAGGGCTAGCGCCTCGTTCAGGGCGTCCACCAGGAAGACCACCGAAGGCGAGAGCTGGATCCTAAGGCGCCAAAAAGCGCAACGAACGGCTTCCCCCCCCCCAGCTCACGGGATGAATCAACCCCGGAAATCCCATGAGTGACTGGGAGTTCCATCTGTATATTGTGTCTTAAAGTAGGGGACCCGACAAATGGCGCCGGTTTGCCTCTTGGTTTCCCCCCCCCCCGAAAACCCGAAAAAGGGCTACTCCCCCCCCCCACAAAAAAAAGAGCCAACAAACACATGTAGTGTTCCTTTGATTTCCCTTCCAAACCCGCAAAAACCGGGGTGAACCCACAAAAACCCGCAAAAAAAAAGCAAGGGTCCGCCCCCACAAATAGATATATATATATATATATGTCTATGTAAATATATATATATATATATATCAAGAAAAGAAGAAAAACATCGCGGGACAGGCCCAGACGCGCAGCTCGGCTCCGAGGGGCCGACTGGAGCCTAGCAGCTCCAAGGGCGCGGACCTCCGGCGGTCCATCTCCAGCTCGAGCTCCAGGGCGCGCGCCAGCGCCTAAGGAGAAGCACAAGTTGCTTGGGCCCACAGCTCCGGGCCACAGCCTTCTCCACGGCTCCGCCGGGTTCCAGCGTTTGGCAAGTCACAAGTTCTTTGGGCCTTTTGCATGCAGCCAGTTTAGCCAGTTTGGCTAATTCGAGAGAGAACCACATCAAAAGCGGTTGTTCTTAATGAGTCACCAGTTTCCAAAACCGATCGGTACCTGGAGTCTCCATGACCCTGAAAAAATGGGGTCGTTACCCAAAATTCAGGCGTCGTGGACCCATTTTTTAAGGGTCATGGAGACTCTAGGTGTTTGTTTTTTTTTTGCATTTCCAAGGCGGTTCGAGCGTCGCTACTTGCAATTCCTAGGTGCAACCATGTGAGCATGCCCAAACATAGGGCGAACCCATGGATTTCGGCATTCCTTTTGGCTTCCCCTTAAACCAAGGTGAAAAGGGTAGTCAAACCCACCGGGAAAGGCGCTTGAGTCACACAATCACCAGGGTTTTTGTATCCAAAAGCATACGGACAATCTATGGTTGGGACTCTTCATCTAGTGGGACCCCAGATCTTCCAATGGCATAATGCAGAAGCATCCCGGAGCAATAGTGGCGCGATAGCTTAAAGATCCACATGGAGGTCTTTCTTTTGTGAGCTGGTCTAAAGGGGCACCTAAGGAAAAGAACACGATTTCGGGGGTCCCTATTTTCAGACATACCCATATTGCAAACATGCGGCTTCTGCTCGGGTAGGGGCCGTCGGCGCCTTGCTCCAGCGACTTCGCGTCTTGCTGTCCGACTGGGGCCTTTCTTGTGGCTGATGAGCAGCTTTCCTGAAAGCAAAGGCCACGTACAGCTGGTGTCATCCCTGCCCAGGTCACTTCGTATCAATCGTTTTCTTTTGTCATACACAGGGACTTGATTCGCTTGCCACATCCAAATTGTCCGGCGACGTGCCGCACAATTGCGCCTCCTCTTGAAAGGGGATTCCTTTAAGGGACTTCCGCGACTTTTGCACTGACACATCCCACGAGCCAGAGCAGGTGTAGGATCAACCCCATCTGGGTTTGTCTCAAAATTGGGGGGGTGGCCCTAAAAATGCAGTTTCCTTTTGGTTGCCCTAAAAAGGCAAGCAAACCGGGGTCTCCCCCCAAAAAAGCAAGCCACTGACAGCTTTGCTCTGAGCGGCTCAGGGGTCTTCACCTCATGGATGTGCACCTCTTGGATCTGTACCTCTTGGATCTTCGAAACTTTCACCTCCTGGCATGAGGGCGAATGGAAACAAGCAAACCGCAAGACGGCGGAAACAGCAAGGCAAGGCAATGCAGGCAGGACAAGGCGGGCAAGGCAGAGCGGGGCAAGGCAAGCAAGGTGGGGCAAAGCAAAGCAAGCAAGCAAGCAAGCAAGCAAGCAAGCAAGCAAGCAAGCAAGCAAGCAAGCAAGCAAGCAAGCAAGCAAGCAAGCAAGCAAGCAAGCAAGGCAAAGCAAGCAAGCAAACAAAGTAATAGGCAGAATTACACTCCAACAAGCCAAATGCAGGTCACAACTAGCAAAGCGGCGTGCAAACAAGCTACAACCACCAAAAAATCTAGCAAACAAAGAAAGTCACCAAACAGCAAACAGCCAACACCACCAGGCACAAACGAAAAAAGACTGCACGCCTGAGACCAGAACATTTGCCGGAAAACCAACTTGATTCAACCAAAAAATAACAGTCCAAAGATCCGTTACCCAACAGCCATCAAGATGAAGTCTACCTTTTGCTGCATGGTTTTGAAGGGAAACACAAAGCTAGGTCCTCCAGTAGAGAGGTTAGAATAAGGGTACCCTTTTTTCTATAGTCTATTTTAGTCGGGGAACCCTCCCCCAAAAAGAATCAAAGGGCACTACTGGGGGACATAGCAAACGAAACACACGACATCCAGCACCCTCCGACTACTGCCCAAACGGCAGTAGATAGAAATTTCCATAAACGACCGTAGTTAGAAAAACTACTGTCAATTATTTATTTGCGGGATGCCCATAGTCGAAGTACTGCTAGCTACTGTTTACAGCGGGGAGATGCCATAGCGGGGGTGGTAGCAATCAAGGGGTGGCAGCAAGTGCAGCAAGCGCCTCACAGCGTGTCACCCCTGTCACCCCATGTCACCTGCGTGTCACCTGCGGGTCACCCCGTGTCGCCCCTGTGTCACCCCGTGATCGCCTCCGTGTCGCCCCCCCCAGAACGACAGTAGATCGCTGCGAACTACTGTTGTTTGAGCGTGTCACTCCGTGTCGCCCCTGTATCGCCCCCGTGTCGCCCCCGTGTCGCCCCGTGTCGCCCCGTGTCGCCCCCGTGTCACCCCGTGTCGCCCCGTGTCGCCTGCGTGTCACCCCGTGTCGCCTGTGTCACCCCGTGTCACCGTGTCACCCCGTGGTCTTGTTTTTCACTGTTTGGGGCAACATGAAACGACCGTAGATCGCGGTATCGGAACTACTGCCAAATACCCTGTAGTTCCGAAAAAAAAATAGACGGTAGTCGGAGGGTGCTGGATCTGCTCCAAACGGCCGCTTGACCCCAGATCCGCCTGCAGCTGCTCCAGGTCGATTTCGGCCACGGGCCCCACACGCGGCTGGCACCTCGCACAAAAACCAACGAGGAAACCGGCGAGACCCCGGTTTAAAAACCCACCTAGCGTTCCAGTTTTTCCTTAACCCCCCCCCCTCCGGGGAAAAATGTATATATATATATGTATACATGCCATATAACAGGCGATCCGCGTCCTCTCAAAGTGAAAGGATTCCTTCTAAAATGGGACATGCAACCCCCTTGATCAACCAGAGGTTTGTTAATCCTGTGTTCCCATCTAACATTTGGGGGGTGGTTTACTATTGGGTCATTAAGCCGTGCAAATGTAAAAATAATTAAAGCAGTGCCAAGAACTCTCTTCCACGAAAGTCTCGGGCGGCATAGACAGAGATGAAAAAAGTCTCAGACGGTTTAACCTTGGATTTCGTTTCAGGCTTCTTCTTTGAAGGGACAACCCGACGACTTTTTTGAACCTTTCCGACGGATTTCGTTTCCGGCTTCTTCTTTGAAGGGACCCGAAAACGATTTTTTTTGAACCTGTGCCTACTTTCAGGTGGCCTTCGCTGTGGCGAGTATGAAGCCCCCCTCTGAAAGCGACCGCTATTGGCATGCGGAAGGCGCGATTTGCCGCAGAGGCCAATCGCAGCCTGAGAAATTGATTCTCCATTTATGAACCCCAAAACATGGAACAGACTCTGAACATGTGGTGTTCATTTGATTGGCCAAGTCTTGAACGGGCGTGATGCCTTTGGATTATTGATTTTCGCCTTGCTGGCTGGCTTGGGAGCAAATGAATGGGACATTGATCGTCAGATGGGCCTTGTCCTAAAGTGAGTGGGTGCCAGGGGGCACATACATGATTTCTCCACCACAAGGTGGTACATGACGCTGAGTGTATAGCATTCTGCCAGTATCAACACTGAGCCCAGGATCAAGCTTCGACAGGACACAGCCGTTATTGGAACTCAGCGACTTCTTTTGGGCACGTGTACTCTTTGACTTGCCACAAAGAAATAACCATATATACATAACATATATCACACACACACACACACACCCAAGGACCCTTGGTTTTGGTGCAATTTAGTGATGATCAATCTAGAATCTAGAGATTCAATTTCTCGAAATTTGCAATTTTGGGCCCCCAAAGCCTCATGATTTGGAGCCCGGAGTCATCCGAAATGTCCCAATACGATGCCCTTTTCAAACAGGATGAGTCCCAACCAAGTCCCGGCAAAGCTTTCATAAGATGACCACGTCGCATGTAGCGGCTGGTCGGCCGCATGTAGCGGAATGTCCCCCTGACCTCGAACAAAAAACACCCGTTCTTGACTCCAGTTTTTTTGGAACCGGGATACAACTTTTCACCCAGACCTTCCTGCTCCCTACCCTCAGATCGATCCGAGATCCGATCCGATCCGAGCGGCAGCAGCGCTGACCCAAAGTGCAGGCTTCGGAGCTCTGTGGAAGGATCCAGCACCTGCCAAGGCTATGATAGGCCGACGGGTCCGGGAATCCGATTCTATGGGTATCTTCCATGTCCATGGATCCTTCTTTCTAGAAAACCGCAGAAACCCAGTCAAAACGACTGGTTTGTGAAAAGAACCATGGTCGCAAAGAATGGGGAATCGACCCCTAGAATTGTAAAACTCCATCTCGTTGGGCCCAAAGCGTCACATACTCCTTGCTCGATACACATGATGGGTCGGAGCTCCTGAGGTTGAGAATATTGCGTGTTTTAGTCACGGTGAATGCTTCCATCCTTAGGCTCCCAGAGGAAAACTCTTTTCTCAAAGTTCCAGCTCCAGCACTTCTTGCGCTCACCTTGCCTCATCGTTCCAGTATTTGTTGGGTCTGCAACTTTTCAGATGCTCAGGTAGTGAGACCACTCCAAGCCCCTAACCCCTAACTCCAAGCCCCCCCCCCCCGCCCCCCGCCCCCACCTTTCACCCTTCCTCGCCTGGTGTCCCTCCATCGCCCAGCCCTTGACCCTGCGCCGGAACCGCTCCCGCGCGCCGCGTTGCACCCCGGTGAGGCGCCCCATCGAACCCAACTCTGTCCGCAGCACCCGCGCCAGCTCCAGCTGCAGGTCCTCCGAGGCGAAGCGCCGGAACTGCCACGAGGGACGCCCCCTCTGCGTGCACTTGTCTTGTGCATCTTCCGCCATGGTGTTGTCAGAAAAACCAAAACCAAACAAAAACTGAACAACAAAATACAAGACGGTGTCCTGGGGGAAGCATACTCTTGTGGTTTGGGTTTTCTCGAGTTGTTGCATTGAATGGGAAAAGTGTGAAAAACCTTGAGAAAGATCAACTTTCCTTTGATTGGTGGTTTGGAGCCCGGTGGTTTGGCGGTTAAGGAGGGGTTTCCCATTTACCCTCCACAAGAATCAGGGGTTCAAAGCCGAATCCAAACCACCAATCCAAACCACCAAATAGGGGTTACCTGAAAACTCTGTTAAATGAGAAAAACACAAACGGGAAAAGGCGTGACACGTAAAGATGTTTTTGGAACATATTAAGCCCAGTTGCCACTGACCAAGCAAAACGCGGTCCCCAAACCAGGCTGCTCGGGCCTTGTGGTTTTGGGCTTGAGGGGCGAATGACTTGGAACCTCTGGTGGACACCTAGCCCGATTCATCGGAAACAGGGAGGCCCCAGGAAATGGTGCAACTGAACTGGGGTACAGTTCCCAGAACATGCCACTTGCAACCAAACTTGGTGCATACTCGCTGGAGTCTCTGAGGAATGAAAAGAACACTGCGAGAGGAGTGCTTCCGTTGGGAGACAGGTCGTGCCACCACGTCAAAGTCCCAACCGGGATTCCAACGAGTCGCGCATGCAGGCGGCTGCCCAGGATCCGTTGTTCGACCCAAGCTTTCCCTAAAAGCTGGCGACCGGGCTGAATCCTCTGAAAAAATGGCTGGCTGATTTGGGTCCTTCCCGGCGCCATCTTGTTTAGAGGAAAACCCGCAACGCAAGAAGCCGCTGCTCCTGGACGGTTGCTCCTGGGGAGACGAAGACCTGCCGGTCGTCGGCTTCGTACCTTGGGGAGCCAACTCGCACGCAACCAAAAGGCAACCCCATCTGGTCCACCAAAGGACCCCCAATTCGGAGCCTTGGTGCCCACCATTCTTTTCAGAGGTCAGAAAAGAAACCCAATCCAGAAGAAGCGCCCTTAAGCACCTTTTCTTTGGCTTTTAAAGGGAAACCAAAAGGACAACCACTTCTTCTTCTTCTTCTTCTTCTTCTTCTTCTTCTTCTTCTTCTTCTTCTTCTTCTTCTTCTTCTTCTTCTTGTTTGTTGGGGTGAGTCACATATGGGGGGTCATTTCGGGTCTAGTTTGCAACCACCTTCCTTCAAGGTTTTGGGTTGAGCTTGCAAATCGTCTCTAAGCGTCCATGGCACACACACACACACCGGCGTTGTTGCGTTGAAATTTGCCTGTGGTTGGTGAATCAAAGAGAAGGCGTGTCGGGGATTACAAGTTTGGGGTCCTCCTAAATTTTGAGACATACCCAGAGACCCTCTTACGAATTTCACTCCAGGCCACATCTTCAGGGGGAGCGGAACCGCATCCGGCGGCCGATTTGGTTCTTCAGTCGGCTCAGAGTTCTCGGGCGGGTAAGACGGCTTCTTTTGGTTCTCCTCGCGCGATGGGACCCGTTTCGGGGCCGCCTTTGAAAGGTACCGAAACGGGCAAGAATTTTGGCAAGGGTTGGAACCTCTGAAGGCGTGTTTCTGTTTCGCTTCGAAAGAACCAATGAATTCCCCAAAAGGGGGTCTTACTGTAGCCCATGGGAATCCCTTTTTGGACGGTGTTTGAAACTCAAACCGGGAAACAACAAAGGTTAATTTCTTTTGGGCACTCTATTCCGTGTTCCGCACCCTTCTCTTCAGAAGTTGTCAGGGTGTGCTGGTTGGATGTTCAAGAGATCCCGCAGAAACAAGAGACAACCGGCAAACACAGAGGTGTGCGCGCCTCTTCTTCTTTCAGGTTGGACCCCAAAAAAATGGCACGACGGTGTTGCGTTTAGCTTTGTGGGCGGTACCGGTCACGAGCCCTCCGTGTAGAGATCCGACTCGGATCCTTGAGGTTGCCCTCCAGCTGCTCGAAGTCGAAGAAGGCCATGAAAATCCCGCGCCGGGAGCTCGATCCGACCCGCTTTTGCTGACTGGAGTCTCAAGGTACAATACGACAATACGACTCATGTGGGTACGCGTCAAAGTGACCAAGAAAACATGGTGGTGTTTTTTTGTGTCTTCCGTTCGGATATGGCATGAATCCGACTCTAAAGGATGAAACACCTGAGAGGCGCCAAGGGAATTCGCGCGAAGGAGACAGAATTCTGGCAACCCAGAGCACAAGTGCATCGCTCTGGACTGCTTTGGTTTCGCCTCTGGCGCACCAGCCTGAAAGTTTGCCCTGCTCCTTGCCTCACCCCCTTACCCCACCAAAAACTAGAAGAACGGGGGCCCGAAAGCATAACAACAAACAGTGAGCGAAGCGTGTTCTCTGCCGCAAGTTCTCTGTGCAAGTTTCTCTGCCCAAGTTCTCTGCCACAGCTCCCCCCCCTAAAGAAAAACAAAACACATGTTAACTTCCTCACTTCCGAAAAGTATGCCTTTTGTTCACTGCTCCCTTAAAAATCAACTTTCAAACGGGTATGAACTTGAGATAGGGACCCCTTGGTGGACATCACTTAAGTGGGATGCATGTCGACCAACCACTTGCAAGGTGGTTCCTCATTCAAATCCATTGCTGTTTGGGTGCCCCCTTTTGGAGTGCCTTGAAGGGGAAACCAGAAGGAAACCAGCCATTTTAGGTGAAATAAAAAGGAAACCATACAGGAAACTAGCGTTTTTGTTGAAGGGGCAACCAAACAACACCCCCATTTCGACCTCACAGCTGCCCGCGCGACAGAAACCTGGTCGAGTTCTGACCTGGGGCTCCCCTCTGAACTGGATGAACTTCTCCAGGGCGGCGTCAATATCCCTCGCGAAGCCGGCCGAAAATGGCAAAGTCGTCAAAACCGTTTTGGGATCCCATTTTGGGGGTAGGTGAATTCATCACCCATTTTAGAACCTATTTTAGCGGGGATTGGGATCTTCACTGGGGGTAGGGCTTTTGACCCATGGCCAAATGGGTTCTCAAAATGGGACTCGGACCCCTATTGGGGGTGCTGGTTTAATAGGGGACACCAAAAGGAAACAAACAAATTGTGGATCCCTAGATTGAGATGTGAATGGTTTTTGTTTGTGGACACCCCTTGCAACTGGACAGTTCGTGTGTTCTGTCGAAAACGATGCCCCAAGCTCCCTAGACCTTGGAAAAGCACAATCGAAGAGCGTTTCTATTACACCACGGGATTACGAGCCCAGGAAATTGCATTGCATAGGGGACAGGTGAACTTTTGGAAAAATAGATGAATTCTGAATGTTCCTTGTAAATGGAATTAAACCAATCTAAACCAGCGCCATTTATTTCTAACCAAACGAACCGATCAAAAGGAGACCTACGGTTGTGAATGAGCTCTGTTTCCCAGGGTGGTAATCCCCGAGTGCAATGGAAAAACGCTTCGACACGCAGATCCATGCAAAACCCCCCCCCCCTGACCAGAGACGACACCCAGACAAAGACAGGAACGCAACGACCAGTTCCCCCAAAAAATGCCATGAAATGGACCTGGCCCCCTTTCAGGAGCCCTCCTTTTTTCACGGCGGCTAACACCCTGACTACTCTGGGTGGACAACACCCTGCACCAGTTGGCAGGTGACTTATCAACCAGTATTCACAGGGTTCATCCATCCCAACGGTAGGTGGCTTATCAACTAGTATGCATTCGCTTTCATCCATCCCAACTGGTGCGTTTCAGGGATTCTGTTCATCCACCCTTCAGGGTACCCAACAAAAAATGAAGAGAAAACGAAGCCCTGGTTGAGGCGTAGGAAATCCATCCTTCAGAGGACCTGAAAGAATGAAGAGAAGACGGAGTCCTGGCTGAGATGCTGTAGGAAATTTCGCTTGGGAACCCCGTCCAGTCCCCACAAGGCTCCGGCCCAGGCGCCGCATTCTTCTCCACAAAGTCTGCAAGCTCTTGGCTGGCCTCGCCTCGAAAACCGAGCGCGAGGGAGGGCAAAGCCCGTGGTTTGTTTTTGGGTTTGCTTTCTGCGAGAGCTGGGTGCTGCTCAAAAATCGGGGCTCAGCTTTTTGGATGGTTGTGAAACTTACATTGCTTAACAAGGAAACAAACCACCTGGAGGAATCGGTCCCTAACTTTTGAGAAACCCCCAGCTGGTTTTCAGCGGGTGAGCCACAATCAAAACCGAGGATGAATTCGGAGACTCGGCCATGAGGTGCGGATATCCCTAAGACCTCTTTGGTGACTGCGGAACGGACTTGCAGACCAATGACTTCTCAGTTGTGCCCAACCAAACCCAAAACAACTTTCATGTTTAGCGGAATCTCCTCTTGAGGGACCCGCTTTTGAACTTGTCAATTTGCAGGGGAGAGTAGTGGCTGGGTGTTCGACGCAACCCAAGAACTAGGGTTCCCTTACAAGTTACAAGCTGGCCTTCTCGACTTGTGCGTTCCCCAACCACCCAGATGGTTACACTGAAAGTCCTAAATGGGGGTCTCTCTCAATGAGGGAACCCCAACTGGTTGGGTTTCTGCTCGGTTTACCCAAAGTGACCCTCAAAAACGCATCACCCCACATCTTCATCCGCATCCGGCTCCATGTCGGGAGAGCCGAAGCTTGACGTTCGAAAGGCTGAGGTCCATGCATGCCCAAAGCAGAGCGAAACTGATCGCCTCAGTCATGTGAAAACTCCTAAGTGCCCCATGGTGATGGCCACCAAGAAAAACCCTTGGAAAAAATGCGCGTCGAACATCAGATTCTATTCATGGGTTTATGACCGTCCCTAGAAACCTCAAGGTATTTACAGGGGTGGTCATAAAGACCCTTGTACTAAAACGGGTCTGTTGACCATGCCCCACGACTGGAAGGCCACGAATGTCCACTTCAGATAATCTAGAGGGCTGCGGCTACTACTTAGGAGCAGTCCCGCCCTGTCAGTGGGAGATTGCTTTCACTGGTATAGTCATCCTGATCATCCGAAGTTGGCATTATTGTTCAGACATACCGGCTTCCTTTTGAAAAGGAAGGCCGCAACTGGCCCCAGTACTATATTCAATCATCAAAGTCAAGCAACTGGACCAACTTCAGTTCAACTTTGGAAACAGAAGCAAAATGAGGACCGATCCCAAGCAGGTCGTTTCAACGACTCCATCCTCGCCTTGCAAGTGGATCAATTTCAGCCGACTATACTAACTGGAAGAACCAAAATGAGGACCAGCAGGCCGTTTCAACCCATGCAAGCAATCCTGGCCTTGCAACCGGGAAAGGAAGAGGAAGCTGAGCTGCTGGCCTTGAGCATGAACGACGCCTGATGGAACCTGGGGCCGGCCGAAAGTCACCCAGATGCGACAGGCAAACCCGATACTTCTTGTTTTTTGGGAAGGGCTGGAGGAAATCTAAAAGGAAAACCAACTCATTTGGGGGTCCCCGAAAAAAAAAAAAAAAAAAAAAAAAAAAAAAAATCCAATCGAGTTGATTAAAGTAACCAGACTTTGTGTTTGCCACTAGAATGGTCACCCAACAAGTCTTAAGTCCAGGAACTTCGCGGATGTTCCATCGAACTTTGGCAAGCAAAGCTGATTGGCGACAGGTTGCAACGGCTTGGCCTTGTAAAAACCGGCGGAAGAGATATTTGGTTGCGGGCAAACAAAGTGGGGACCAGTGACTAGATTCCCAAAGTTCCCGATTCGCGGCTCCCAATACCTTCCATCGTCCCGTCGCTCCCATCGCCTTCCGCGGTCTCTGCTTCTTTGCTGGAGAAGCTCGGGGAGCGGACTGAAGTTTTTTAGGTTTCTTTTTCAACAAAATAAAAAATATTTATTATTACACGATGGCAGTCTTCCGAAAGCCTGTCAGCTTCCTTGATTGGAAACGGAGTAGCCGAAGGCAACTCTCGGAAACGGGCAGCGGGCTCTCGGGGCCTGGCCCGAGAGCACACTCCGCGGGAGCTCTTGAGCCGAACGGCTTGAGCCGAACGGCTCGCGGGCGTCGAGTTGGGGTCTGTCTGTTGGTTTCCAGAAGTTGCCAGACGAAAGGGCGAAGGAGTGAACTTGTCGTAATAAACCAGAAAGACACAAAGTTCGAAAAGGAAGCTAAGTCTGGCGCAAATCGCTCCAGACAATTTGTCCATACATGATTCAGCTCTACGAATATTGCTTGAATTTCGGGGGGAGGAGGCACACGCCACACTTGAGGCCGCAATTGGCTGCTTTACTAAGTGGTCAGCAATGCTGGTTGCAGCCCATTTAGCCCTGTCAAAAGTCCTGTTGGTAGGTTATTTGCCCAGGGGTACAGTCACTATGTGTCGATCTACTTACTAAGTAGCTAGTAGCCTCCGTAATGTGGGTTATTATTTATTCAGCCCTGCTAAATGGTGGTTAAAGGAGACACGACGCACGAAACCTATATTGAGAACCCCCTTAAAATCAGGTAACCCGGAATTGGTAGTTTGGATTGGTGGTTTGGGGATTTGAATCGCTGGTTCTTGTAGAAGATAAGTGGGAAACCACCCCGGAACAAATCCAATCCACCAATTTAGAGGGGAAGCTGACTTGAAAGCTTGACTTGAAATCTTCTAGGCCGTTTCAAATGGAGTGTTGGCCAATCCTAATTCCATAATCCTATTGGAAAGCCATAAAAAGGGGAGACCCCTTGCGTAACCCAGGGCAAGCATCTTGCGCATTGCCTTTGAGCAGCCCAGGGCCCAGATCTTGACAAACCCGGGACCCTCGAAGAAAAAAAACACCTTCAAATCTGGGGAAAAATGGAACAAAAACGGGAAAAACAAATAAATAAGAAAGGAAGAAAAATAAAGAACTATTTTTTTTGTCCGGCCCCTTGGTTTGGCCCTTTTCCCGACCCGACGGCCGCTTCGGCTCGCCTCAGGAGGCGGTCGTTCTCCGGCGCCGGCCAGACCTCCGCGCCGCTCTCCTTCACCTCAGCCTGGGCCCGCGGCGAGAGCTTCCGGCGGGAGAAGAAAGAAACGCCCACGCGGGTTCTGCGGGGGAAAAAGCGTAGGTCCGCGGCTAGGTCCTCCGGATTTGAGAGGTTAGAACAAGTCGGTACCCGATTTTTTTGGTCCTGTAGCCTATTTTAGTAGGGAAAAGTAGGTCTGTGGTCGCAACCATGCACAGCATCTCCCCGGCAACCAGCCCTGAATCAGTATGACAAAGCTCCCCTTTGGGTTGCGCTTTTTTCTTCCGCCGGGCGCTTGCGGCCAACCATGCACCCAGTCTTTGTTTCAATCCCACGAAAATGGGTCCGAGGATGCTTCTGGCGTCCCTTTCAACCCACCTCAAACAGGGCACTCTGAACAAAAGACCTTCCCAGGTTGATGTTGAAGGGAAAACCGCCCTTCCCTTGGAGAAAAGTGCGACTCCAAAACCCCCGATTTGGGATGAATGATTTAGCCAAAGACAAGATGATTTGTGAGAAGGTCATTGACCCAAATTCAAGCATTTGCCTTGCGGGAAATGGTTCCCAACCACTTTTGTGATGCCTTTTTTTTCCGAGCAGTGACGGAATGCCACCAAGAGAAGGGGAATTAATTCCCCGAAGGCATCTCAGAAAGCGGCAGTCCAAAACTCTGCTTCCCACAACCATGGGCTGATTTGGTAAAATGCAGAAAAAAAAACCTTGAACACTGGTGAATAGGTGGTTGGTTAGGGCGGAATTGGCCAAAGCTATCCCAGTGATTCCATTTACCTGTATAGTAGGTAGCCAAGAAAACCACCTTTTAAACCCTACAAGGAAAATGCACGGTTTAGGTATGGTTCTGCAAACTTGTGTGCAGACAATTGTGGTGTCAGCAGTGGTGTTTTGGGCGCCAAAGCTTCTCAGGACCCGAGAGCAGGTTCTGCCAGCAGCCTCCCTTCACGCGCCACAGCTTGAGAAAAACTTCACTCCTGGCCAGATCCGGAGGGTGTCTTTTCCAGGTCACTGAGGACAAAACAACAACCACGAAGAAAGGGGAAGAGGAAACTCGAAGGCCTGGAGGTGAAAGCCGACGTCCGTTTCTCGAGTCTGCGCAAAGAACCGGTCAGGGTCCCGCCAGGTTTGGGCTCGCTTCCTGAGATTGCCCAAAGCGTCCAAGCATGTTGCGTGCCGCCAAGGCGGTCTTCCCAAAACGTACCCTCCCACCAATTAACATGGAACCTGGCAGGGGACCCCCCTGTCAGGTTCCATGTCAATTGGTGGGAGGGTACAAAGTCCAGGAACAAGGAGTGAGCAGAGGGGAAACCTTGAAGCCTCCTGACCTTTTGTTCAGTGAGGAGAAACCGTCTCTGGGGCAGGCACGCACGCCTTCTTCCTCAACTCGCTGAGATCCTGCGAGTTGATCCCAGCCGAAAGTGGCGCCTTTGGCACACCAAAACAGCCTCACTGCTGGAAGAAGTTCGGGTCGGGAGGAGTTCTACCTTTTTAGTGGCGCTTTCCATAGGTGGGTGAATGTTTGTTTAGGCTAAACCAAAATCAAAAGGGTGCCGAGCCTCCAAAAAAGACACACCCATCAAGAGGCTGAGAACCTCTAGGTATCAAATATTGTGCTTTTGGAAAGATGGGCCTCCACTGGTGAATGCTGCCACCGGCACCAGCTTAGGACCCCGAGCCCCATGATTTACCTGTGGAATCGAATTTCCAATCGGACACCTGGGGCCCCCTCCCTTCCAGCCCCGTGAGACAAATTATGCTCCGAAGTGAAACCAGCTCGGCTCCATCTATTGTCGAAACGGAAGCCAGAAAGTACGCTGAATCAGATTGGTCAAATGGCTGCCTAAAACGGAGAGGTCACTATAGGACTTCGCTGGTGCTTTGGTTCTGCACAGTGATTCACGCAAGCGAGAACCCAAGTGAGCACCATGGGCCATGATTCTGACAGGGCGCTATGATATCTCCCTGCGGAAGAGAGGCTTGTGCGCAAAGCCATCAAATTTCAGCGGATCCCACTGAGTTCACTGACGAAAACGCTGTTGGATGGCAGTTGATCCCAAAAAGCATGTTATCTTTTGTCATATACCGAGACCGTCGTGGTGGTGGTGGTGGTGGTGGTGGTGGTGGTGGTGGTGGTGGTGGTGGTGGTGGTGGTGGTGGTGGTGGTGGTGGTGGTGGTGGTGGTGGTGGTGGTGGAGTGTCCAAGTCGCACCTCCGCGGCGATAACGCCCTCATGCCTCGGCTACAGCATCCAATCGGACCAAAGGGTTACCCGAGTAAAAGGCGGCCAACACCCGTCAGGGCCAGGGCTGTGGGAAATGACCACTTCTGTGATACAACAAAAAGGGTCTCTCAAAGACTCACCCCCCCCCCCATATAAAGAGAGAAATCCCTAATTCCCTTCATATAAAGAGGAGAGTCCCTTGCATCAATAAACCCCTTCATCCCACAACCCTGGCCGTGAGCACAACAAACAGATCGCAACGTCAGTCCTCCGGAGGCTGCGCCACCTCCGCAATGTCGGTCACCGTGTCGGCCGGCCAAGTGCCTGGAAGGCAGCGAAGCTGAGCTTGTTTCAATCGGGACAGTGGGCAGAAAATCGAAAGCCTTGTTTTGGTGGATATGTGGATTGAAACCTATGCTACTTTTGGTGGGTATGTGGATTTCCCATTTCCTGTACAAAATTCCTGTAGCTGTTCTGACCCCATTCGGTCTTTTCGACCTCAAATATCACTGATATCGGAAACAAATCTGACCTTATGTAGGTCGTTCCTAAGACATGGGACCCCTGATAGCCTAAAAAGTTGTTGTGTTCCTTTCGGTTGACCCTTTCAAACCCAGCATTTGACGTTACTTTTGGAGATGCCGCAAGGTAGAAGCAAGGAGAACGGCCGAGGTTTCCAGGGATAACTTCCCCATAGGCCAACTCCAAACACGGTTGGAACCTGCAGGCTTTGTTGAAGACAAAGCCAAAGAGACAGGCAAACCGCCCGGTGAGTGGATGGATTTTACGTTTCAGTCTGGCTCCGGCATTCATGGATTCTCCTCGCGTATGTCGCAAGCCCGAAACGGTGGAGTGAACGGCGAGTCCCCTTTGACGCAGCAAACCGGCACATGAGCCGTACTGGCAAAATGAGCAAAATTGCCCAAACAAGGGCCTTCTGAGGAACCTCCTAAACCCGTAGTGAATCAGCATGGAAAAAAAAAAGATTTTGGCCTGGGCCGTTCTTGCCCACCCACAGCCCAAGATTGTTAAGCATAGCTGTGCTTTCACAATGTTGGTATTCCAGAGGGCAACTCAGACCCAAACATCCAATATCTTCACGAGCTCGTTATCTAAGTGGTCAACCCACATTTGGACCCCGACGGCGCTGGGGACGTAGAACCCACAGGAAGGGCTTGGGATGTCCCCGCACTTCCCCCTCATCTCTTCCGAGCGCCAAAGAAACGCGGCAAAAAGGGGGGGGGGGGGTGCGTTGCTTCAGGTGCTCAGTTGGGACCCGGCTTGAAGGGAAGCCCAAAGGCAACCCGTCTCGGAGCCAGATCCAAACCGCCCAGTCCTTGGATGGACAAAAAACAAAATACTGCGCGGTCTGGAGACTTCTTATATTCGGCCTGGCGCCAGCTCTTTCGCGGCAGCCTGCTTGCGCTCAACACCCAGCCTCAGATCGGTCAAAGCACGCTTCGACCATGGACATTTTGAGGGCAGCTACGGGGGGGCTATCTCTGGCCCGGGATAAGCCAAGGAAACCCATCGGGCCTTGAGGGATTAATAAGGGATGGCCGGGTGCTTTTGGTACTCGAATGAAGCAGGAGTAGCAAAAAGTAATCGCTCAAATTGGCCCTGTGTGGCTGGCCATAGCCCTTTTGGCCATACCCCCAACTCCAAATAGCCTCTTTTCTCAGGGTATCATGTCGTCTTCTAAAAAAGGAGGTATGTACCGTGGAAAACCAGGTTTTCCCCAAAAATACCCTGAAAAAAGCGGGTATTTTGAGTCGGGCGCAGCCCAGCCTCCGCTGTCTGCGCCGCTGCGCCGCGGCGCCAGCCAGAGCTCCGGCCTCGGGAGAAACCCCGTGTGCTCGGGGAAGAACATACCATGGGGCGGGTCTTAAAGCAGGGGACCTCAACAAAAATCGAGTGGCTCCCCTTTCAACTCCGGTTAAAACCACCCAAAATGGGACCTTGAAACAAAAAGAACATACCAAACGCTTGGATTTGGGGGACACAAGCACATATCCTGATTCATGTGATTCATCCCCGAATCTTGATCCTGAATCACAAGTCCTGAACAGAATAAGAAGCATCACACTCTCCGAAGCAAACAAAACGTGGCCCTCCGAATCGAAGCAAACAAAAGTCTGCGCGCCACGTGTCCCAAAATGGGACCTTCTGGATGGCATGGGTGTGGGTCAAAAATAGGACTGCCCAAAATAGAACCCGGTAAATCTGAACGAGGACTAAAACCTGCGGTCCCCTGGTGGTTAATTTTCACGCATACCCACATGGCATGTTTTGTTCAGGGGGTAGTCTTGCTGGTGGTTTCTATATTTGGGAGCTGGCCTGAAACAGAGCGGTTTTGCCAAAATGACCAAAACGAAGTGTGGGAGGCGGAACAGGTACATGGGTCTGTCTCTTGGTAGGGGCACCCCTTTTTTGGGTGGCTTTAAAAGGCAACTAAACGGGGAAAAAACACGAGGTGCCCTCATCAACAAGAGGTTGATGAGGGCACTCCATCTGACCCTTTTCTGTACAAGGAGCCATCTCTGAGGCCAGCACTGGCAAGAGGGAGGCTGCACTTGACACGGTCTCTCTCCAGCCTGGCGAAAAAGGTGAGGCGCCCACCGCGCTGAGATGGTTTCCACTATCCCCAAACCACTACCCCAGGAGCTTTCATCGGAGATACAGCCGCTTGGCGACGGGAAGTATTCCTTTGCGAGGGTAGTGCTCACTTGCAGAAAGGACCCAGAAATACAGATTTACATTTTGGAACCTTGACTAAAAATAGACCAAATCAGGAAAAACCAAAAGGTCAAAAGGTCCGGTTTGGGCAACTGAGAGTGGCTGGGGGGTAGTGAAATCCATGCCTTGCAAACTGGAATCTAGACAAAGGCGCTCGAGAATGTGACACATATCAAGCAAACGCATACAGGATCCCAGAGCCTGTCTTGCACAAGATGCTTACTCCCCTTCGCAAGCGGAGACCCGGCAAAGATATTCCTGTCATCTGCTTTGATGGGTGTTTTGCGGACCATCCCTGCACCTGCCTTTTTTTGCATAGAGTGATGCTCAAAGAATCAACCGAAGGTCCGCATCTTCCATTTGCTTCAGGCACGGTTAGAAGAACCATCGATGTTTTTGAGTCATGACCACTTCCCTTTCATTGATTTATGTTACACCTCGCTGCCACTGTCTGTGAAGATGGTCAGCCACGACGCAAAAAGGAAAGCAAAGGCCACTTCCCTTTTGAAACCAGCAGGAGAAGCAAAGGGAAGATCTGCGACGCAACTTCAGGCCTGCTTCGGCCTGCCAAGCCAACCTGAGAGGGTCGGAGGGTCGAACTGAATCCGTCGTGGGACACCATCAGCACATGGAAAACCAGTCATGAAGATCTCACTTCTGATCGAGTGGATGGCCCAAAAAAAGTCCGAACTTTTGTTACCACTAAAGTGGTCTTCCCAGGCTCTCAAGGAGTCAGGACTTAGAATTGATGTTGAACAACCCAGCTTAGCTAGCTTATGGGCGGTTGGAACCTAACCCACTGACTGAGTCCGCTAAGCGGAGTCGGCCCTGTCGTTTTTGGATTGTAAGGTGGCGTTGACTGGCCGAGCACCCAAGCGAAAAAAAATGGGAACAAACACCTATTCGTCAACTCATCCAACTGCTCAGCATGATCGAACCGCGGTTCTTTTCTCGACTTTCCTTGGCTTCTGTCGGCTGGCCTTTTCAGCGTGTTTACCATTCCCACAGTCACCCCCAAGCAACAGGTTGAAGGAGTAACAGACCTCACTTGACCTCCGGGGGATTCTCCTTACCTGCACGCTTGATTCCCTGGGTCGGGCTCCGGGTAAGACTCTGTCGATTTTTATGTGAGACGGGGAAGCGGAAGCAAGCACAGTGGCGGTGGGCAACCAGGGGCACCCTTGCTTTGGCAGTTGAATTTGAAAGAGAGTCCTCCTCCCAATACTGGATCCGATGAAAAGCTGCAGCCTCCCCAAGAGCAAGGCCCCAAACCCATTGCCATGGCTGAGAGCATCGAGCACCCTTGCTTCAACTTCAAGTGAACCCCCTCCAAAAAAAAATATGATAAACAAACAAAAAAAACTAAACAAACTTGGCGGTGAAACCCTCCTCCCTGCAAAAAGCCTTATACTCCGGGCCCCAGGCCTTGGCCCATGGATCGGAGCCTCAGACTGAGCGTTTTCGGCGCGCCCGTTGCGACTTACCTATCTAGCTGTGGGTCAAAAGATCAATCGGTACCCAAAATGGAATCCTGATGAATTGAACCAAGGACTAAAGCCTGCGGTCCCATGGTGGTTTAATAATTTTTCATTTTGAGCCATTCCCGTTTGGCTGCTTCGGCTTCGGGTGCCGACTTCGAAGACGAGCCCTCACGCTGCCCGCTTTCACCGGTCAAGCTGCAGTCCGCCGTTTTTCTGAGCTGAGTTCGTTGAAACATGTGCAACCAAATCCCTTCCCAGCCCTTGTCTCCAACGGTTTTTCCCCCCTCAAGCTGGTTTATTAAAAAAAAAAAAACGGTCTCAAAACGAAAATGCGCGTGTTTTCCCTACATGAGCAAATTCATATCCACTCCTTCTCGGAGAAAAAAACCCACCCACCGCGGCCGCCGTCTCCTCCAGGCCCGCGGGCCGGCGCGGGACCGGGCCGCACGGCCTGGCACAAAGGGCCGCCACGTGGCACCGCGTCAGAAGCGCTCGTCTCGCTGAGGGTAAGGAAAAAGCAAAGGAAACCGGCCACGTCTGGCGTTTCCGCGGGGGGGGGGGGGGGGGGGAAAAACCCAAAAATATACACACCCAAAAAAGGGTGTGTGTCCTTCTTTTTTGAGGATGCCTTGGTCTGGCTTGTTTGAGAAAACCAAAGGAAAGCCACCATTTCGAGCTCCAGTGTTTTGGGACAAACCTACCCATGTTGGGTGTACTGAGCATCATGCTGTGGATTGACAAAATCCATTTTGCACCGGTCGGGAGGTTTATCCCAATATTCATTTGGTCTCATTCATCCCAACTGGTGCTCAGTGGATTTTGTCCAAAGTACAACTTGGGTGTGGAGGCCCCAGCTGACTGTGAAACCAACCCCGCCCCCTTTTGGTCATGTGTCAATGTTGTATCATCGTATATGTCTATATAATACAATGCCGCCTGTTGCCATAAGTATATATATATATAAGCGAGAGAGGATCCACTGGTTGTCATACAACCCTTTGGGGGCTTCCTCTGATTCGTGTCCTCCGCAGTCCGAAGCTAAACATGCGATCGTCTGCCATGGGCAGCATGTCTACCAATTGGTCCTAGGCAAACCCCAAAGGGCTTGGTTCGATGGGAACCCTTGTGATTGTTACTCTAAACCCCCCCTACAACCTATTTCCTTGCGGATCAAGCCAGGCAATCCGCAGATCTGAACATAGAATCACCGGTTTTTGCCAGAGTTCCGCACATCTTTCTGGCAAACACCTAAGACACTTCCGGCTGGGCGCGAAAAAGAAAGCCCGAAGAAGGAGGGTTGAGAGTTTGACCATGCGCGGCATCCACACCTGATGCAACCCAAAAACTGGCAGAGGTACCAGGACAAAACTCTCCGCCAGTGCCATGTTCTGCATTCACCTCAGCATGGAGCGATTTCATCTGCACGGGACGGCTATCATCCTGTGCTTCAAAACCAGAAGACTTCCCCTACCTGGTTTCCTTTCGGCTTCCCTCTAAACGTCCGAACGAGAAATGGCTGGTTCTCCCTGTTTGGTGTGGATTCGGAATCCCCACCGTGCGACTTCTGTCCAAACCTCCAGCTTACGGGCTGGAGGGAATGGCTGTGTATCAAAACCCGGACTCAACCTGTTGTCCTGTTCCCATTTAAAATAAAACGATGGGTCCATTTTCACATGTGGCTGTGGGTCAAATCCGTGTACCCCTGGTGAACAGCAAAATAGTGGGTGTTCATCCGCCCCAAAATGGAGCCATAGGTTATGACTCGACCCACAGCCATGTGACACCAACGAACCGCAAAAGGTGCAACCCTTGGATGAAGGTGAATCGAGGGGAACCAACATGACTCGCCAAGCATTTGGAAGGTCGATGTCTGATCTGTTCGAGGCGAGCAAATGTATCCCTACACGAGACAGAATCGGCTTAACCTTCGTTGGTGGTTGGGTGGCTTGCAGGTAAGGGGGTGCTCCCCCAATAACTCTAGACATCAACCAGCGGTTCAAATCCCCAAACGACGAACCCACGCCACCAATCAAAGGTGCGAACTACGTACCGGCTGAATACCCGAAACGCACAAGGGATGGTTAAGTGTCACCCCTCCCCCCCCCCTCCCGATCCGGTTCGGAACCATGCCCCAACAAACCCTCGTCTTGGGGGTTTACCTCACGCAAAATTCAAACTGGGCCGGCCCACGATGCCGGACCTGCTGCGGCCGTAGCGGCTGTGAGCCGAAAGGGCTCGCAACAGGCGGCCGGCGGCGCCCTCTGGCTGGCTGGTACCTAGGTTTTGATGCCTGGCTGGGGAAACTTGTCGAATATTCCGTTTTGCCCCCCAGAGAAAGAAAAATTGGTTGTCTCCGTGGGAAGAGAATTGTACACCGGTGGCGTTCCCACACCAACAGTTGGCTGGACCCCAAATGGTGTGTTTTCCTGGTGGGTTCCATTGAAACCAACTTGACAAGGCGGCCGAGACTCAAAAAGCACGCGCACCCACATGCGTGTTCCAATGAGATACGGACCCCCAATTGGTGTTCTGGTGCCCCCGTTTGAGACCTTCCCATCAGAGTCGTCAAAAAATTAGGACGGCCCCAGATCGTTCTATATATTCACATCCTGCCCTAAAAACGGGCTGGAAGGGAACAGAAAGTGAGACGTGGTCAAGATATACTGTTACGTGCTTTCCAGCTTGGTTTAAAAGGGAACCAAGAGGAAAAGCACAATTTTGGGTCCCGGTCTGAACACCTACCTTCCCACAAAGCGTAAAGTTCATAAACTCGGGATGCACGATATGGCTGCGTCTTTTTCGGGGACCCCTCCAAAACGGCATCGGTGTTCCTTTTGGTTTCCCTTTAAAGCCACCAAAACATGGGCACCCGAAAAAGACGAGCCACCCATAGAAGCTGAGAAACCGAACCCGTGCCCCTCTTGCGAGGGGCAGCAAGCGGCGCGCACCGCGAACTGCGGCTGCAAGGCAGGGCCTGTCGGGTCCGAAATCGCTCGAATTCGGACCCGCGGGTCCGAAAGCAGACCGCAAGGGGAAGATCAAGAGCTTCCGAATGTGAGTGGCTCGCCGAAATTCGCGAGGGTACCTTCTGGGTGGTTTTAGAGGGAGATCACCAGGCAACCCACCATTTTGGAGATCCGAAGGAAAACTGGAGTCTCTTCCCAAAAAACAAACGGGCTTTCCTCGGCTCCCCGTTAAGCCAACCCCAAAACGAATGCCCTAAAAAAACAAACACCAAAATACATTTGGCGTTGGAGCAATCTGTTGTTTTCCACAAACTAGGAAATGATCAGCTGCAAAGCTTGTTGCAACGGGGTCAAAGATCAAGCCAGATACCGTCTTCCAGGGAGGGGGGTCAGAGACGAGAGTCTACCCTGAAATATCTAATTGCTTTTTGTTTTCTTTCTTCTTTTTCGGGAAGGGACCCCAGACTTCCATGATTGCTCTGAAGTACCATTGGTTTAAGACGCCAGGAAGACATGACACATTTGCCAGACATGACCATGTCTCTTGCCCACCAACAGGAATAATACAAGCCATTTAGCAATGGGAGTTCGTTCAAAGGGGAGATCCCCCTATTCTTGGGCATACTCAAATGAAAGTATTCCTTCCCAGAAAAGCTCATCAAGCCGTGGGATGTTTGCTCCTCTGCTCCTCTTGGTGAGTCTTTCTTGGGAGCTGGTACCTGTTTCGGCGGGGTTGGTAGGGAACCCAGATTGTTAGCCATCCAACTGGTGGTTTCCTTTAACGGGCCCCCTGGGTTCATTCCCAACACTTGGAAGGTCATTCCCTATCGCACCAGCAAGTTTCTCAGATGACCGCCAAGCGTCCAGGGCAAGATGGGTGGATTCCCGGAAAGGTCGGCGCCTTCCAGCCCTTAAGCTCGCGTTTCGCGTTGCCATGTCAAGGGCCTTTCCTTCAATATGTCATGGGGCCTGGTGGAAAGGGCGGGGGGGAAAAACCCAGATACCCTCCCACCAACTAACATGGAAGTGCAACAAGGCCCTTTCCAAGAGGAAAGTAGTCTTTCTACAGGGGTCTGCGCACTTCAATGTTAGCTGGTGGGAGGGTAAGCCCTTCTGAAGCCGGCTCTCAGGCTGACATGGAAGTTGCTAGAAGGGACTAACTCTTCGGAAGGGGTCGCAAGAGACCTGGGGCAAAGAGGCGGGTACTTTGCCTCAAACAAAAGGGCTACTTGAATACCCTCACAAACAAGCAACTTCCGAAATTATGCTCAGTTTAGCTTTCAAAGGCGGTATATTCCAATATCAATGGCCACGTGGCAAGAAATCAACGGATCTCCGGCTTCGGACCCAACGGGCCCCGCCTTGGTTCCAACTCTCCTGGGCCCACTGCTGCCCCTCGGCTCGAAGCAGAATTCGACCCCAGCGATGAGTCGAATCCATGGAGCTGAAACCCCAAGCGTTGCTCGGCGAAATGGATCTCGCCCATCCGATCATCATTCCGCTGGGCGTTTTTTAGGTGGCGCAGGAGTTCGAAACGCTTCTTGGCATTTGCAGGAATTGAATCATTCCATTGGGTTTTGTGTGGATTTCGCCACCATCCACAGCATTTCACTGCAAAAACTCCCAAGCCAAATGATTTGCGCTGAAAAGCTGTGCACATCGGCAGGACTCACCACTCAGGGGGTCTCCTCTTGTCAACTTGCCAAGAATTGTGGCATACTTCCTTTGCAGTCTTGAAAGAACACCCCTGCCCCGGTTCAGTGGAATCCACCAATCCAGAACAGTTCAGAGGAGTCGCACTCCCCCTGTTCATTTGCAAGGCACTTCCATAGGCATCGATCTACTCCGGCACGTCCCTTCCCAAATTGTTGAGGAGTCAGCGCCATCTATTTCAAAATAAACGATCCCAAAAAAAGAAAGACAGCCCGACCACCTGGGCGCCAGACCGCATATGGGTCAGGCGGCCTGAAGCTGACGGAGCCCGAAGTTCAACCGGGGACCCTTCGGCCGACCAAGGTGGGAGTCATGTCCACCACTCCCACCATCCGATCTCTCCCACCTTGGTCGAGTCATCTCACCCCAAAAGGTGAGAGTCAGTTTCAAGTGGCTCTCTAAAAAAACTGCCCAGCTCCAAGCTCCACCACACCACGGGCTTGGATGTGTGCCTCCTACAAAGGCGCCTTCTCAAGAGCACGGAACCCCCCCAAAAAAAGAATCAAAGGCTCACCAACATGTCCCACGGCTTCTCGAACATGGATACCTTTTTTGGTTGACCCCGGCCATTTTCCTCGCAAGCTCCGCAAAAAGATGTCCCTCGCTGCCCAGTCCGCGTTTGAGGCCGCGGCCCGGCGTTGGCCATGCCGCCCTGGCGACCAAGCTGTCTCCACCTCTTCAGATTTCTAGCCCAGGCAAATGGAAAGCCTGCGGTGCCCTGGTGGGCACAATTTTGATTTTGACCCATACCCACCTGCCGGTTTAGTCCTCTTTGTTTTGGGGTCGAAAAACATGCAGGTCGCGAAAAAGCAGGGTCCAAGAGAAAAAAGAAAACGGAAGGGGAACAGGAAAGGGGCAATGAAACTGACTGCACAGACAAGTTATTACAGCGAACAGGAAAGCAAGATGAAGCACAGCTTCCACATTTGAGCATAGGGATGCACAGAACTTGCCACCCCACACGAGGTGATCCGTTTTTTGAGGAGGAACCTCGTTTTCGGGATGGTTACTGTTTGGAGACGAACCCACATCTAACACTGGATCTTTCCCTCCTGCCACTCCGAGTTCTGCGACATGAACTTCTCCAGCTGCGCCTCACGGCCATTGGCATGGTCTAAGGAATTCCTATTGGAAGGATTCATAACCATCCCGAACATAAAGCCAATGGCTGGCACATGACCCTGGCACAAATCAGGACGCATGGCCCTTTTTCCCAAAACTGGAAAGCGGTTGGATCCCGCAGCAAGGACCAAATTGATTGGAGAGCCTGAACAACCTCCAGGCGAGCTCGCCAATTTTTGCGGGACCCTCAAGATGTGTGGTGTCCCTTTTCCCTTCAAAACTGACAGCAAAAGGGTCAGCAAAAAGACACACCCATGTTCCTGTTCAAAGGGAGGCCCAACCCAATCGCCACAGCCATCTGCAATGTCAGGGTTTCTTATATATTTCCCTCGACTCAAGAGGGTAATTTGCCTACTGCTATAGGGTTCTGTCCAGCCTAAAAACATCAAAACTGCAAGGAATCGCGCTTTGAGTCAGCCTTTCCAAACGAGCCAGTCAAAATGAGTCGCTTCCCAAGAGGAAACGGGAAGATGAATGACTCCCCCGAATTTTGTGGGAAACTCAGTGAGCCCCATGTAAGCAAAGGGAGAAACATCGGGAACCGGTGAGGGAGTTTTCGAAGGGCCGGCCAAAAAGGACATCACGCTTTGTGGGTCCTGGTTTTTCCTGTTGGGTTGCAGGCCCAGGTCAACGGATATCTGGCTGGATCAGTGCCTGCCGCACATAGAGGTACACGGCGCCAGCCTGTCGATCGGTCAAGAGAGCTTGAGAGGGCCCGAAATCAATAAACACAAACCACAAGCGCGCGCAAGGCATGCTGAAGGCGGATATGGGTACGTGCTAAAGAAGAACCACCCACTCCACCCAAAATAAAAATAAAAGAACAGAGGCAGCATTTAGGTGGGGATTTCTGTCAACCAATCATTTGGGCGAGGTGTTCCCTAACTCATTGGCCCATAGCTGCGTGGCCTGCAACCCTGTCGGGCAGTTGAATTCACAGGGACTAGATTGGGCTGCTCAAGACCCAATTCATGCTCCCTAGACAAAAACCGCCCTTGAACAGCGCTAACAATTATTACTGGGCATCGGAGAACTCTGCGTCACCCTTTGCCAAGTGGGCAAGCGACGATGGCCTAAACTCTAGACGACCCTCCGGGCCACCAAGAGCTCAGGCTGATTCACAAGGCAGATGCGTCTCAACATTGGGGGCACTCCTAAAACAGGGCTGGTGTCCTGTTGATGTCCTCTTGGGAATGAATCCATCCCTTACTACAGTTCCAAAAACATACTACAAGGAATGATTCATTGGGATCATTCCCTCATTCTTTGCTGAGAACCAGCAAGAGAAGAGACACGTGCCAAACTCCAAGCGCCTCAGGGACTGTCATCAAGGCCAGGAAGAGGTACATCAGGACGAACCTGGCACACAAAGCAGGTAGCAGCCCACTGCACATGTTCCCAACAGGGCCGGGGTCAAATTCTGATCCCGGGAGACCACTGAAGGACGCAATACCAATGTTCAACCCTTGTAACATGGTTTTTTCACTGCTTCGAGGTTTGGAGCTACCCAAATGAGACCTTTGGAACGGTGCCTGATGCGACGTAGCTCCCAAACCGTTTCCAGAAGCGAAGGAGCCAGCGCGCACGTGACACGCAGAACTGGGGCGGTTGCCAGAATTTCCCAAACAAACGTACAAGTGGGAGGCTCCATATCCATACTTCAAGCGGCGGGTTACTAAGTGGACAGCAATCCCAGTTACGACCTGCTTGTGGGTCATATAGCCATGGTATCTGTGCAAATATCAAGGTTCTTACTCGCTTGCTGCGAACCCTACTTTAAGTATGGGTTTGTGTTCGAATGGAATATGGACCCCCAAATGCCACATTTTCTCTTGGGTTTCCCTTCAACGGTGTGGGGAACAAAGGGCATCCCGCTCGGGAGGTTGAATGGGGAAGCCTTCCCAACAACAAAACGAGAGAAGGGCGCCACTGGGCAACTGGGACAAAGTGCTGCACTTGGCTGTGGCTCAAAAAAGTGGTACCAAAATGGCACCAAAAGGTAAATGGAACCAAAGACTAAAACCCGCGGTTGGCCCCAGCTCTTTAGTTTTGAGCCAGACCCACTTCAAGAAGACGCACCCAAATAGTGAGCTCAACAACTAAGAGCTGCACTTCAAGACTTGGTCCGTCTCATCGCCCAGGGCCAAGATCAGGACGGCGGCCAGAACAGCAATCACCTGAGCCATTGCCGGAGGTGGCGGAGCGGTTTCTTGAGGCTCGGTGTCCGTTTTGGGGTCGGTTTTAACCAGTCAGAAACTTGATCGCTGCTGACCCCTCTGCAAACAGCTGAACTTGTTGTGGTTCCCAAAAACTTAAAGTCCAATGATCCAACCAATTAGCCATGAAGAAAAGGATTTCCAACATTTTGGGGGGTCATCCTATGTTCACACATACCCATAGCCAGTTCCCCCAATGTACATGAAAAAGTGAGTGAGGCAATGTGTTCGCCACAATGACTGAGATTCGCCTAGGTTTGAATGCTTTCCAGGTGGTTTGTGGGAAAATCTGTGGATTCTGCGCATTGCCGTGGTCAAAGTGTTGTGTTCGTCCCCACGCGCCGAATCCCGAACTGACAGACCACTGGATCTTCGGCCCCTCACCTGAGCGGATCGTCCTGGTTTCTCAAGAGGGCCGTGCGACATTGGAGAAGTAGCTTGTTACACCCACACCTTTCTTAGGAATTCCTGGATTTGGAACCTCCGAACCGTGCTTCACGGTAATTCCCGGGTCGAAATGTCGGAATCGGGTGCCAGAGGCGAAACTCAGGCTTGCGCCAAAACCCCCTTTCTCAGCAAAAGGAAGAAACCAAAGAGAAACCAAAGGCGGACAGAATGGCAATACAGGGGTCCCTGCAGTTTCCCCTGCAAAAGTTGCAACTGACTACTGGTTCCATTGAAACTGCCACTTTTAGAGGTTCCAAAAACGGACATGGAGGAAACCGCGCATCATTCCACCTGCGGTTTCTTCAAATGGACATGGTTCCTTGCCGATTCAATCGAGGGATCTTAGGTCCTTAATTGCAAGGGATCCGAATGGGAATGACTGTGCTTTGCCTGGTAGCGATGCGAAGACCACCTCGGAGAAAGGGCCCCGGGGGCCCCTTATTCGGGCTGCAAACTGTTTGTGTTTTGGTTTGGGAGGAGGGAGGTCTAAACACACCTGAGGCTGAAGCCCATATTTCCCCTTGCATCAAACCAACCTCACTTTGAAAGGCCTTTGGAAACGCAATGCAAAAACAAATATGTTCATGCAGATGTGGTCTTTTTTTGTTGTCAACCCAAAAAGCCAAGATGTGTTCAGAGGAGACGCCTGAAGAGGCTGCACCTCAGGAAACCCTTGATTGGTGGTTGGAGATTTGAACCTGGAGGGGCAACGGGAAGCCAACCTTCACACCTCCAAACCCATTCCGGGCTCTCCTCAGATCCGCTGCCAACCCCCGTGAAGCCAACTAAAATATCGGGAAAAAAAAGAAGAAGAATAAACACGGGGAAGCACATATTCAGTTTAACTCAAATGGACACCCGCGCGAAGCCAACTAAAGACCCAAAAACCTGATGAACCGGACGCTTCGCTGGGAACCGCCCAGACCTTTTGGTTCGCTTAAGCCTTTTGGAAAAATTATAATTAAACAAATATGTCCAGTAGTGATAGATTCCCTGTAAAACCAACAGGGGGAAATACCAACATATTCTTAAGCAACTTGGACTGCAGATACCCGACGCGCGTTGACTCGCTTTCTTGCTGGGCGCCGGAACGCCTACGGCGATCCGCGCCAGGACCAGGGCCTACGGCGATCCCATCGATCAGATTCTGGCCGAGTCGACGAGCTTTTTCGGTGAAGGCATCGAGCCGAAACGGGTGGCTCGCTCGTTCTCTTTTTGGCTTACCAAAAGATCCCGGCGAGCTTTCGGAATGAAATGCTTGCGGCTTGTCAACCAAAAAATAAAAATCCCGTCCCTCCAACCTTCGGGTTTGCTGTTTTGTTTGCTTTTTTTCCTCAGGTCTCCTATGGCCATAGGAGACCTGAGAATCTGCGGAAACTGCCGAAACTGACGGGGTTCCATCGTTTTGATTCGCTTGTTCTCAGGAGAATTTGCAGGAAGAACGACATCATTCGCTTCATTTGGATTCATCAAGGGAGTCGTCCCCATATCCCATGCCAGCCATGCTTCTCGGAAATGTAGGTGGTTCGTGGTTCTGCCTAGCACGGTTGGTGAAAAGAGTGTGGGGGAATCACCCCCTTGAATTCTGGGAGCACGAGGCGAGGAACATGCTTCTAAGGGGCTCTTGCAATCGCAAGACAAAGACGAGACAAGTTGCTTGACGCGTTGATTCAGGGGACCCGTCCTCACGGGTTCAAACGGGTTCCGCTCAAGTCGCTCCGTGTACCACTAAACTGGTCCAAACCCAAAAAGTTTAAAGTCCATGAACTCAGGAAGAGTTGAAAGACCAACCCTTCCACTTGCCGGAAGCTATGGATTTTTGCCAGGAGCCTTGGCAAAGTCTGCCGGGCATCCTCCCGAGGCGGCGCCTTCCGGGGACGGGCGCCCCCGCCCCCCCCCGATGTCGGGGGGCCTGTCTCAAGGAAAAAAAGTCCACGAAACGAGGCGAGGTGAAGAAGATCTGAGAATCTTGTTTTGGAGAAACCAGCTTTGTGGTGCAGGATTCATCCTATCCACAGGAACAAAACTCCAATGTTGGATAAACCAGTGGTGTGGGAGTCGATCCACAGGAAGCTTTACACCTGGCTGTCTAGGTTTGCCATTGAGGGCAAGCAAAAGAACCGGCCTTTACATACGAGCCGCTGCCAAATTACGTGCTTCCCCAAGAGGACATGTTTGCACCTGGCTTTGGGGAAGGAACCTCGAACAGGGCGGTTTCCGGAGGTAAAATCAGCTTTTTGGGGTCCGAATCCCATGTTCAGAAACCCAGGCAGATGGGTGCCTTTGTGGAGGTTACCGCTTGGTGGCTTTTGAGGGAAACCAAAGGGAAACCCTCCATTTCACTCAAAAAGACACACCCAAATATTCAGCTCACAGCAAATCGAATCCGGGCCTGCCAGCAGCCCATAGACCAAGCAAAGCATCCCCGCCTCGGCTCGAGCGAATCCCCACAGCTGCTGAATCCGTTTCTTTTTTTTGGGGGGGGGTCTTAATGGTTCTTTATCGGTGTCTTTAAACGCTTTCAAGTCGGTTCATCCCAACAGGTCTCCCCCAGTCAGCTAAGGCCTTAGAGGAAAAGGAGGGCTTGGATTGCGGCGCTTGCCCCTGTATTCAGCTTGTTTTCAAAATGTCCCGGGTACAGTGCCCTCCGCAAAAGAACAAACCAAAAACCGATATTCCCCCCCGCTGCAAGTTTTAAGCCCAGTTGGATTTGAGATGTGCAGGAGAAAGGCTGCCCCGCAAAACCAAGAAGAAACACGTCTCCCCCCTAGACCACCCTTTGTGGTTGGCCCACAGGGGGCTCAGAGCCCAACCATCACGCCAGACGTTCCGTGCTTGTCCTGGCAGGATCGCTCCCAGAGGCTGGCTTGGGGTTTGCATGTGGCAGGCAGCCTCCAATATTGCAAACCCATGGCGCCCGGTGTTCTTTTTGCCTTCCAAAACCAACTAAAGAAAGGTGTCCCTTCTATGTTATGCGAAAAGGCGCACCGACCCCAAATGGTTGGCAACGCATGATCTCCAGCTCTGACACATAGCCAAGCAACCTTCCCGGGAATCCCTACCCTTTCGTACAACACATCAGCTGGGATACACCTGTCCATCAAGTTTGTACACAGTCCTGAGCAGCAGAACACCCTCCGCGATATCTCGCAGCGAGTAAAGCCGCAACAAACGCGGGGCCGCTCCTCGTATCTGTCGTTTTGCCTTGAGGTCACCAGGAAGAAGATCCCGAAGGCCGTCGGAGAATAGGACGTGAGGGCGATGATCTAGCGGTACAAGTCATGCGAGAGGGTCCCGGGCAATACTGTGGAAGGACGAAATCCAGTTCGCACCACCGTTCAGAAATCCAATCATTTTCTCGCAAATGCCAACAAACAATGGTTTCAACCATGGATTCGAAGTCCAAACCAGCTGCCGGCGACCAGCCATTTTGTCAGCGAGCGTATGGTCATGCCCTTCAAACAATCATGGAAGTGGGTTCCGGGGGGTCCCCAAACAGAAAGCTTTTGTCCAAACCAAAACCCTCTGGTCAGCTTGCATTGTGGAGTAGTGGGAGGGGGTGACTTTCTATTGGGGTTCCTGTTGGAACCCTGTTACGTTCCGTCTCCATCCCAACAAATGGGCGTATGGGTGCGTCGCTTTTTAGGGACCCCCTTTTGGTTGAGTTGTTGAAGGGAAGCAAAAGGAAAACCACCAAACATATTCTCTTTTGCTTGGGGGGGTCGCCCAAACACTGCAAACCCCATGTTTAAGTCAACCTGCCTAACAAGAAAGCGGTACAGTGGACTTTCCACCGGCTTGCCTCCCACCGGCACCAACTGCCACTTGAAGCACTGGAGCCAAGGCACATTTTCCAAGGATGACTTGGACATGCCATTCTGACCTGGCACGTCCGCTTCTGGGGCCGGGTGTGGCGGTACATGGGGACACTTTGGTGCGGCTGGTGTCCACCAACGACCATTGAGGTGATTCCCTCTTTCTGTTCAGAACCGCAATGGCTCAGTGCACGAAGGGCTGTGGAGGTGATACCAGTGATACCAGATTGGGATTCCCATCCCCATGCTCAGTTCACTTCAAGAGTGGAATGTTCTTTGCCACCCAAAGTGCCGACCAGAAAAACCGCTGGTCACCATGCGCTGGGCGCGCTTGAAGAGCTCAAGAAAGGGATGGGGCGGACCCATGTCCATTCGTGCACACCGAGATCCGGTGCGGAAGATCTGTCTGCCCACAGGGCTCACCCAAAACGCCCAGAAGTTCAAACGAGGCCCATGCGTAAAGCGATAGTTGTACCATGGTTCCTTGGATGCAAATCCTCCAAGTGGAGATGTGTTTGATGTTGTTTCTGGCCAAAATGTATCCGGATTCTAAGCAACTTCTATCGGACCGCCGTGGGAACAAGAGTTGAGACCCGCATAAAGTGCAGACAGGTTTCTAAACAAATGGCGGTGAGGTGTCTTACATCGAAAAGGCAAGGACTTCCACCAACAGACTCCAATCTGAACAGGACACCCCCAACAAACTTTGACACGCGGACATGTGTCAAGACCTTCGTCCCCCGCTTTTAGTGGTGAGCTTCCCGAAAAAGGTGACAACTTTTGGGCATGCAGTCACACGCGTCGATTCGTCTCCACCGGCATATGGAACCCTCAAACGCCACCTGCCTGCCAACTGTTCCATGGCTGGTTCTCTCCGTCTACGCGAGGGCAATGTGGGACCGGTTCGGCAATCTGGTTCTCAGACAGGCGCTTGGCTTGAAGAACAAACTTAAACAACTCCAGGCAGGAATAACTTTACATGTATCAAAAAAAGAGTCCAATCTGCAAATTGGATTCCACTGCAGGATTGTGCTGTGAAGGGTGCTGGGCCAAAAAGGGTCGGAGCGGCAAAAGCGTGTGGGATGTGATCTTTTGCCGCGTCCCGTTTCCTAAAATCCCTTCTGGCCCTGTCTTGGCTCCCTTTGGAACCCTTGCAATCGTCCATGACCAGTGCTAAGCCTTAATCCAAAAGTGTTGCCCACACATGGCTAGGGCCCCGAAAAAACGCCACGCGTCACATGTGTCGTCGGCAAAGTGCCTATGTTCTCAAAGAAAGCAGCACCGAGGTCCAGTACGAAAGTTCTACTGGTCACCAGGCTGTGGCTCCCCGAATGCGAGTCGGCTCTGAATCAGGTTCTGGGAGCCAGGAAGCTTTGAGGTAGCATCTGTGGAAATATCCTTGACACCACGCGAATATTGCGGGTTCTAATTGACGCAAACCTACATAAATCAGACAATGTAATCTACGTATATTAGTATATTAACATAAATGTGTGTGTATATATATATATATGACTACATGTCTATGACGCATAGCGCGCTTCCACCCTTTTTCCCTCTGAGCGTTCGCTCTGGCCAATTTCGGGCCTGAGACCTCGCACAGCGCAACCGACCGCTGGGCTGTCGGACCACGTTGGCTCGGCGCAAATCGGCCCATGTGAGTGGCCAAAAGGGAGCTGAGTGAGGGGTGGAATGGTGAGATTTGGCGGTGGGTTAACAGCAATGGGACCATTTTGGGGTTTTCGGTGCAAGAAAAACATTTTGGAACCTATTTTAGTGGTCCGATTGAACCGGATGTTCACTGGGGGTACGATTTGGGTTTTGACACGTGGCCATTTGCCTCAGCCCCTACACTGCGGAGTGAGTCTTGACCTTAGAGCCTTAGAGCCTCAAGCCCGCTTGCACCTGACCTTGGCGACGGACTTGTCAACGCCGCCACAATGTGTGTGACGCTGGCCCGGGAGCCTCGCTGGAGCCTTGTTCTCCTGGAAAAACACCAACAAAAACAAGCAAGGCGCCCATCCGGAATCCGGAATCCTTCCAACAAAATGGGCCAACTGCTCCAGGGTCGAACGCATGCCAAGAAACGATGCCCCTTGCATAGGCTCCAGCTCATGCGCAGCGTTCGCCCACTTCGCAGCGCGCGGGTGGGTCTCACTTGGGCCAGCTGCCAGAGTCGTTATCTGCGCACCTGATGTGGGTGTGTGTGTGTGTGCGCGCGTGCGCGTGCGCGTGCGCGTGCGCGGGCGGGCGTGCGGGGGCGTGCGTGGGCGTGTGTGGGCGTGGGCGCGCGCGTGGGCGCGTGGGCGCGCGCGTGGGCGCGTGGGCGCGTGGCGCGCGCGTGGGCGCGTGGGCGCGTGGCGCGTGGGTGGCGCGTGGGCGCGTGGGCGCGCGCGTGGCGCGTGCGCGCGTGGGCGCGTGCGCGCGTGCGTGCGTGCGTGCGTGCGCTCGTGCGTGCGTGCGTGCGTGCGTGCGCTCGTGCGTGCGTGCGTGCGTGCGTGCGTGCGTGCGTGCGTGGGTGGGTGGGTGGGTGGGTGGGTGGGTGGGTGGGTGTGTGTGTCCAAATTGGGGCGGGCCAAGATGGGTGGTTCCCTTTGGCTTCCCTACACACCAACCGCAAAACATGGTGCCCTCAAAAACAAACAAACCCATTTCTCGAGCGAGACATGGCCGTCAGAGTCCGTGTTCGCTGGTTGAGGGGGGTTCAGTGGTTGACAGCTTGACTTAAACTCAATGGTCGATTTCCTCAAAAGGGGATCCCTGAGTTGCCTACATTGGGGACAACCACACAACCATCCTGCACGTGCACAGGCTGTTGGAAGACCGCCATCTTCAACAGGACACGTCTCCTGTTCCCTTCCACAACTCGTGGAAAGAGGCAAGTCAAAATGGTACCCTGCATTGGTTCATCCTGGCAAGTCCGAATGCCTCAAATGAGTTGTCCTTGCCTCGGCCAATCCTTGGGCTAGTTGTCTACCGTCCAATCCATGGCCAGCTTGGATGCTTTGCTGTGACCTTCCATCTTTATTTCATTGGAAGAACAGCTGTTCCCGTCCCCCACAAGGCGATTGCCCTCTTTAGGCCCCTGACTTTTACTTCTATGATTTGATTGGCAACAAGACATTGGGAGTAAGCCAGTTAAAAGATCCGTAATCCCGAGTATGCCGAAGCTGGCAATCAAAATGTTGATCTGGTCTTCGCTTCCCATCAAGCCCCCGCCCATTCAAACCAGGACCACTAACACAACCCTGAAACGGGACTCGAAGCAAACAAAGCACATGGTCTTGTTGGGGGGACCCCAAATGGTGGATTTCCTTTTGGTTTCCCTCTGAAACCACCAAACACGTGGACAGGCCCTTAGCCGCTTAGCCAGGGCCCCCACCTTTTTGGCCGGTGGCGACTTGCTTTGACTTCGCTTCCTCACCTCGGATTCAAAAAATGAGCGGAACCCATAGACTTTATGGTGATCGCTCGTGGCTTATACGTGACTTACCTGGGCTGCCCTCAGATCCCCCGCTAAAAGTTGAACTTTTAGTTGGTTAAATCGAAACTACCACTAAACACTGTGTATGCAAACCATACAACAAAAGGCCCTAGAATGGCGCGGGGGAGGGGTGTGTGTGTGTGTGTGTTCAAAAATCGCGTGTAGCATCCCGGAACAATATGTTAAAACCAAAGGGTTCCCATGTGGTTCAGTGCAGCGTAGAAACCCACAAGGTGTGCAGCGGGTGGGGCAAAAGACACCAGCGAATTTCATCTTTTGGCCCCCCCATCCCCCCAAGTGGTGCTCAAAATTGCGCTCGGCACAGCGTCTCCCAAAGACAGACTGGAGACAGCGACCTAGCGGACCTAGACCCTGCAACCTCCACTTTGGGCCGCGCTGTTGGCACGAGCTTGGGCTTCTCCCTTTCTCTTTCCCTATCCTTCCCTTTCGCATCGCGGTCCTGCATAGAATTTCGCAAGTCGGCGGATGCTAACTTTATTTGCTGTGCTTGAGGAGTGGAGGATTCAGCAAGTCAAGCACTACCCTCCCTCCCACGAACAAAGCACCTGTGGGAGGGTAGCTGGAAGATACATTCCTCTTATAGGAACCCCCTGTCAGGTGCCCTGTTAGTGGGAGTGATGGTATCCACTCCAGCACTCACAAGGCACAGCACGCACAAGTCGTCCTTGTTGTCTCTTGCAACTTTGTCTGCTTCTTTGAGCCTAACCTTCATATATAGCCAAGATACAGAACTGGCCACAAACACAGGTTTGCACACTGCTTACAGTACAAGGAACTGACCTGTCTGAATATATGCTGGTTCCCGCTTCTCGCTCCGGACACATGCAAATTCTCATGCGTGCGGTCACAAGCCCACAAGACACACGTTCTCTGCACCCCCCAATCGCAAAGCCTTTTCCTTGCCTTTCTCACGCTCGCGCTCCCGTTCCTGTTAAGCAAAGGGAGGAGCACAAACGAAATCGGCGTCTTTGCATGGTCAAAACTCCTTCTGTGGGTTTGCATGAGGTGACTTAAGGGATACGTGCAATCCCTACCAACCCCAAAGTAAAGGATGTTTTGACCATGCCACATCTCATGCTCAATGGCGCTCGGCTGGCAGTCTCAAATCAAACCTAGTTTCATCGCCCTGGGTGCCCGAACAACAAGTTTCATCAGCCCACACTCCAGTTGTTAGGTGGTTTCTCAACCAGTATTCAAATCGGGTTTCATCCTTCTCAAATGGTGCGAAGTACATGTCGCTCATCCACAGTATCTACAAACGACGACTCTCAGCCTGCACACATGGGCTGATGCGCCCCCGTGCTGACGCTTGCATGCTGCAAAAGCTTGACTACTGCACAAATGCCAAGAGCACCCTGTTGTTCCAACCACACCCTGGTTTTGGGCCCATAAACCATAAACCAGGAGGTGGAAGAACAGGTCCAGGGTTGGAAAAACAGGGAGCAATGCCATTGATGAATGGTCCACAAGCAAAGCTCCAAAGCTCCTTCTCCTTTTCAGACTCCTTCGCCTTCTCTCTTCTAAGGCGATCCTTCTCCTTCTCCTAAAGCAAAGTCTGCACCATCTGCCGCGTTCCCTTTTGTTGGGGGCATGCGACATAACCGTTGTCAACGAATGAAATTTCACGTTTGGAGGTGGCATCCCATGTACCGTGGGCTCAAACTCCAATCCAAACCACCTGAACATCCACATCTCCTTGAACAATTTGACTCGTGATGGGTTCTCCCAGCTTCCCCAAGCCGGCTACCTGGGTACCTCCCCTGTCCGGCTGTAGTTGAAGCAAGTGGGTGTATCTCCTTTTGAGGGTACCCTAACTGGTTGTGGCTTCCCGATGGCCAAGTTTTTAGGGTGTCCCTAAAGAAAGACACGCCCTATGTTCCCCCCCTGGGCGGGATAAAACCGGAGACGTGTCTTCAGTCGCCATCCGCCTGCTTCTCCCGTTCTCGCCTCTCCTTCTCCTTCGCCTCCTTAGCCTCCAGCCCATGGAACCCACCGGACGTCCCCATTTGTGTCACCCAGTTCCTATAATCGTCCATAAGCAAACGGATATGTGGATCGTTTTGAGGGCGCCCGTCTTAGGGTTGGCTTCGCAACAAAAACCCCGCAAAATTCGGCTGCCGTTCTTTTCCTTGTTCTTTTGTTGGCGGGGAGGGGCTCTATTGTGACATATACCCAATGGGGCCTCCTTTCGGATGGTACGCACACCAGTTTGTCCTTTGGCGCCAGCGATCGGAGCCCGTGAATTAGAAGTTTAGACCCGTGCGGCTTCAGAAGGAAATGGGGATCAAACCTCCACCACCAACTAAGGAGTCACTCATTTATAGAGAAGCCCAAATGCACTAAGCACAAGGAACATTCCGAACAGTGTGAGCCGCCCTCCAGGAACCCTCCATCGCCTCAAATGAGATCCCATAGCTGTTACTTGAGGCCAAATGATCTTCCATAACCTGAACGTCCTGAAGTGATTCCATGCGAGAAGGCGAGAAGGGAACATTGTTTTTTGGTTCTCGCTGTCCCTCTCTCTCTCTCTCCTCTAGCTGTGGCTGTGAGGCATTTCCCAAACATTGCGCCAGATGTGCCACACGGTAAAAACTCCTGTGTTCTCCATTGTTCGACGCATCCTGACTCGGGACATTGGACGCTCACAAATGAAGCTGCATGCACCATACGCAAACGCAAATTTGACCGCCTCTCAGCCACACTGACCTGCCAGTCCCCACGGACACTGTTCGGTGTCCTCATGCAGCACATCAATCAAAGGTCGCTCTAGCCCTCCAATCTGTAACGGCTGATTCACCAGCATATGGGCATTGACGATCCCCATGGGTATGCCCTAGGGTGCGGGGGTGTCTCAACGCAGACAAGTATCAATGAACCAGAGGGTCATACCAAGGATTCATATGGCTGTGGGTCAAAATCCCGGCTAGCCCCCAGTGAACATCCTAATCCCCGCTAAAATGGGTGGTGCACCTACCCCAAAATGGTAAGCCTTGGAATAGCATTTACGTGCGACTCGATGTCTGCCCATCTGATCATGCGGGGGAAACAAACTGCAGAAACCATCGCGAGCGAAGCTGCAAATTGGCCGGCCTTGGCCTCCTCCTTGGCCTTGGCCTCTTCCTTCTTCCTGGCATAACTTCTACCTCCATTTGCTTAAGTCCCATGGAAAAATAGAAACGATTCCAGTAGTGATAGATTCCCTTTAACACCAACAGAGGAAAATAATAATGACAATAATAATGATAATAATAATAATAATGTTAATAATGATGATGATAATAATAATAAATAATAATAATAATAATAATAAAAATAAATAATAATAATAATAATTATAATAATAATAATAATAATAAATAATAATAATAATAATAATAATAATAATAATAACTAGACGACGAGTGGCCCGGAAGCATAGAGGCAAGTTGATGCAGGTGAGGTAACTCTCGCCAAGTTAGCATGAGGAGTTGGCAGGCGAAGCAATTCTCAAAAAGTTGGCATGAGAAGCTGGCAGGTTAAGTAACTCTCGAATAGTTGGCTGGCAAAGTTGGCGGGTGAAGTAATTCTCGCAAAGTTGACATGAGAAGTTGGCAGGCGAAGTAACTCAAGAGAAAAGTTGGCATGAGAAGTTGGCAGGTGAAATAACTCTCAAAGAGTTGGCATGAGAAGTTGGCAGGTGAAGTAACTCTCGAAAAGTTGGCGTGAGAAGCTGGCAGGTGAAGTAATTCTCGAAAAGTTGGCACGAGAAGATGGCGCGTGAAGTAACTCTCGAAAAGTTGGCGTGAGAAGCCGGCAGGTGAAGTAACTTTCGAAAAGTTAGCATGAGAAGTTGGCAGGCGAAGTAATTCTCGAAAAGTTGGCGCGAGAAGTTGGCAGGCGAAGTAACTCTCGAAAAGTTGGCAGGCGATGTTGGCAGGTGAAGTACCTCTCGAAAAGTTGGCATGAGAAGCTGGCAGGTGAAGTAATTTTTCGAAAAGTTGCCACGAGAGGTTGGCAGATAAAGTATTTCTCGAAAAGTTGGCATGAGAAGTTGGCAGGTGAAGTAATTCTCGAAAAGTTGGCAGGTGAAGTTGCCACGAGAGGTTGGCAGGTAAAGTATTTCTCGAAAAGTTGGCATGAGAAGTTGGCAGGTAAAGTAATTCTCGAAAAGTTGGCATGAGAAGCTCGCAGGTGTAGTAACTCTCGAAAAGTTGGCATGATAAGCTCGCAGGTGAAGTAACTCCTCGAAAAGTTGGCACGAGAAGTTGGCAGGTGAAGTAACTCTCGAAAAGGTGGCATGAGAAGCTGGCAGGTGAAGTAATTCTCGAAGTTTCGGCATGAGAAACTGGCAGGTGAAGTAATTAACCCTCAAAAAGCTGGAGCGGCGGAGGCGCTCCGCGTGCTACATTTGCAATTTACAGTTGCGATTTTCCAGCCATTTGTATCTAAAAGTTGCGATTTTCCAGCCGGAGCTGCGGGAGCACGCTCCGCGTACTACGTCTGTACTTAAAAAGTGCGATTTTCCAGCCGGAGCTGCAGCAGCCTCCGCGTACTACGTCTGTACTTAAAAGTTGCGATTTTCCAGCCGGAGCTGCAGGAGCACGCTCCGCGTACTACGTTTGTACTTAAAAGCTGCGATTTTCAAGCCGGAGCTGCCGCGGACCAGGGGGGAATCGAACCCGGGACCGCGGGATTGCGAAAGCAGGCGCGCACACCACGAGACAACTTCCAAAAGCCGTTTCGCGAGCAAGAAAATCGCACGGCGCCACAGCGAGAGCGCTTCGACACGCACGATCTCCGCAGAGGGTTCTCAAGACTCGCACGGCGCGCCACAGCGAGAGCGCTTCGACACGCACGATCTCCGCAGAGGGTTCGCCAAGGTCAAGACAAATTCGCACGGCGCCACAGCGAGAGCGCTTCGACACGCACGATCTCCGCAGAGGGTTCGCCAAGGTCAAGACAAATTCGCACGGCGCCACAGCGAGAGCGCTTCGACACGCACGATCTCCGCAGAGGGTTCGCCAAGGTCAAGACAAATTCGCACGGCGCCACAGCGAGAGCGCTTCGACACGCACGATCTCCGCAGAGGGTTCGCCAAGGTCAAGACAAATTCGCACGGCGCCACAGCGAGAGCGCTTCGACACGCACGATCTCCGCAGAGGGTTCGCCAAGGTCAAGACAAATTCGCACGGCGCCACAGCGAGAGCGCTTCGACACGCACGATCTCCGCAGAGGGTTCGCCGCGCTCAAGACAAATTCGCACGGCGCCACAGCGAGAGCGCTTCGACACGCACGATCCCCGCAGAGGGTTCGCCAAGGTCAAGACAAATTCGCACGGCGCCACAGCGAGAGCGCTTCGACACGCACGATCTCCGCAGAGGGGTGCGTTTCGTAAGCTCCCGTCGGGCCTACCCCCGCCATAAAAAGAAGAAGAATTAAGAGTCGAGATGTGAAGGTAGAACAGAAAAGTTAGCTTGTGTTTTTAGGATAGTGAAGTAACACCCGACAAATTAGCTTGTGCTTTTAGTAGAATGAGATAACAGCCGAAAAGTTGACATGAGAAGTTGGCAGGTGAATAACTCTCAAAAAGTTGACATGAGAAGTAGGCAGGTGAAGTAACTCTCGACAAGTTGGCATGAGAAGTAGGCAGGTGAAGTAACTCTCGACAAGTTGGCATGAGAAGTTGGCAGGTGAAGTAACTCTCGACAAGTTGGCATGAGAAGTTGGCAGGTGAAGTAACTCTCGACAAGTTGGCATGAGAAGTTGGCAGGTGAAGTTGGCAGCCGCTTTTAGAAGAAGAACCCTTCGCAATGCTTCCGGGAATAATAATAAAAATAATAATAATAATAAAATAATAATAATAATAATAAATAATAAATAATAAAAATAAATAATAATAATGACATCGTTTCAGCAAATGGAAGTCTAACTTCACAACCCTTGGTACTGTGGATGGACGAAATCCTGCGCCACTTTGAAACCATGGGAATCCAGTATTTGTTGGTATTTGCAGGGGAGTCACCATTCCAGGGTTGCTTGTGTGGTACAGGATTTCGTCCCTCCACAGTATGGTAGCAAAAAATGTTTTGCCTTTTGCAGCCCCAGCAGAAAGACACGGGCGTCCCCTCAGGGTCGACGCGGATTGCCGAGCGGCTTCCGCTCCCTCTCCTCGGGCCGACGATTTCCGACGTTTGACCGGGAGCCACGGGTCCACTAAGCCTTCTTTATCCCAAAAGCCACTCATCTAAGGAATCCCAGCCCCGCTTTGGTGATACCATAGCATTCCCATCGAACCATGAGAATCACTACAAAGGGGGCTTCCCCAAGGTAGAAAAACATCGGCCAGAAATCAGGCCGTGTTCGACAACCATGAATGGTTCTGTCTTGGGGCTCAGGGTGGCAGGCTCAAAGATGCTCCCGAGACAGATAAAGGGTTGGCCCCGATTCAAACATGTGGCACTCGTTGTTTCAGCAGCTGGCACCAAACCCTCTTGTAACCCCAGTTTGCCCAACCTACGCCGACCCTGGGTGAAAAATAAAAAGTTGCCCTGGAAAAAGACCAGAGGACCTGTCGGATGAGCATCCCTTTTAGCCCTCAAAGTAAACGGGCGAATCGACACAAAGACCTGAGCCACGATCAAGGCATCGGTTGTCAGTGCACCCGTAGTTTTTGTGGAAATTTGAGGCCTGCCCTCTACAAAATTCACCATAGACTAATGGAAATTCGGCTGTCTCTTTGCCGTCGAGCTTCTTTCTCTTTCTCCTTCTCTTTCTCCTTCTCTTTCTCCTTTTCTTTCCTCTCCCTTTCAGCCCTCTCCTTCTCCTTCTTCTCCCTCTCAGCCTTCTCCTTCTTCTCCCTTTCGGCTTTCTCCTTTTCCTTCTTCTCCCTCTCAGCCTTCTCCTTCTTCTCCTTTTCGGCTTTCTCCTTCTCCTTCTTCTCCTTCTCAGCTTTCTCCTTCTCCTTCTTTTCCCGCTCGGCCTTCTCCTTTTTCTCCTTCTCGGCCTTTTCCTTCTCCTTCTTCTCCCGCTCAGCCTTCTCCTTCTTTTCTCTTTCAGCCTTCTCCTTCTCCTTCCTTTCCCTCTCAGCCTTTTCCTTTTCCTTCTTCTCCTTTTCAGCCTTTTCCTTCTGCGCCCTTTCCTTTTCGGCCTTCTCCTTCTTCTCCCGCTCAGCCTTCTCCCGCTCCTTCTCTTTTTCTCTCTCCTTGGCCTTTTCCAGCTCCTTGGCTTCAAGCTCCTTCTTGGGCTTGTCAGGGTCCTGCGATGCAAAAACGCAACCTCTTCTGTTCCAACCCATGGATGCAGACAAGCTGTCCAAGACAAAAAGCAGGAATCACACTTATATCGCTCGGCTATCTCTCCAGGAAAAGAAATGAAGCAACAACCCACCGGAAGTTTGATAGTTGGGAGCGGGGGCCCACGCATGAGTCTAAACCAATCTTAAGATAGTCCAGCCACATGCAACACATGCCCTCCCACGTTGCCATTGCGCTCACCAACAGGTCCCTTTTAGAGGAAAATGCTCTTCCAGGCACCCCCAAGTTCCATGTTGACGGCACCCCCTAGATGTTGGCTTCGGCTTCGAGCAAGTCAGGCAAGCCTTCCCCCTACAGCACTCATATCAGAGCAGACGGAAGATCCGTATAAAAACTCCCTGGGAATATTTGAGGAACCGAGAAAACCAGCCACGAGCGCTTTGCCGCTGCTTGTTTTCCAACACCTATGGGCATAGGCGTCCTTTGAGGGGAAATAGATGGGTTTCCCTGGTAGGTGAAATTCAACCACCAGGTAAACCAGGAATCGCCATCTATTTTTCTACCAAAACAACCAAAAAGGACACCCATGCCTATGGATCGGGCAACTCTTTTCCGCATCCACCTCTGGGACCCGATCCGCTACTCGGCGGTCCATCATCTCCTCCCGCTTCTTGTTGCAGGCGTCCTGCACCGAGCCAGACGTGTCAAAATCGGAGGACCTGACAAAGGGGGTGGGTTTCCCTTTGGTGTCCCTTCAAACCAACCCAAACAAGGTCACACAAAACACACGTGCAGCATGCACATGTGTGTGTATGTGTTTTGGCTGGTAAAAAGGGGGGAATTAAGGAAACCCAGCCAAAGAAAAGATCTTAAAGATTTGTGTGCGCTTATAAGTCTGGCAACGAGAACATCCGACAGCCCCATGTGGTGCTCTTCTGAGCAAAGGTACGCCTCAAGGCCGGGTTGTAGAGTGAGCCCTACTGTCCTTTGGCTTTCTTAAATCATGCTTTGTTCCACGGCTCGAGAAAACCATGAATCTACTTGCCCAAGCATGTTTCCAATACGGAACTCGCAACTTGCTTCCCTATTTGAGTCATACTCCAAACCTGGCACCAAAATGGTACTCCCAAGACCATGTAAAGAGCTACCACGGCGGCTGCGCCCATTTCTGCTTGGGATTGCCCCTAACCTTCATCTACCCGGGTTTTGATTGTGGCCCACTTGTTGTTGTCCCCAGTTGTTCAAAGGCCGGCTCACTGCCAGTACTTGGCTGCTGACTGGGTTGTGACCGAACACTTACCGTTACAACTTACATGCTAACTTGGCGAGTTGAACACCCAAGGGGGTCCCCCGGATGCCGCACTTCAGCACAAAACTCCCAGGGCGCGAAGTCCCCTCCCCCAATCCATTGAGGGGTGACATCCCAGCGCCTCAGCTTCCCTCGTTTGGTGGGTTTGGTGCTTCTTTTCGGACGGTTCCCCATTTACCCTCCACAAGAAGTCCGGGGACTTCAAATCAGTTCCTCTTCCAAACCAATTCAAACCAAATTATATTAATAAAAACAAAAAGAACTGAAAAAAACGGGGGAGGTTCTTCAAAAACGGGGCGAGGCGGACCTCCCCCCCTTGGGGCGCTTGGTCCATCCCACCTGCCGGCGCCGCCAAAACCGCGAGCGGCGCCCGGCGCCTGGATGGCGTCGCGGTGGTGGCCTTTCAGCTCCAGGCTGGCGCGCAGCTCCATGACCTCGGCGCTTTGGATACGGCGAAGAGGACGTGACGGAAGGTTGGGGGGGTGGGGGGGTGGGGTTCAACCACTAAATCTAAATCTTGGCAGTGAAGTGGTTGGATTTCAACCACTAAACCACAAGAAGCATAAAAGTAAAATGTTTCCCAACAACAACCTTGTTGAGGTGGCTGACGCGAAATCCAATTCCCTTCAACCGCACCAAGGTGAATGAGCTACCCATGGCACTGGAACCATAACGTTTGTTGGCAACTGACAGGGACCCGGTCCCTTCAAAAGGAATCTAATCTTCCAGGTACCTCCCCACAGGTGCCATGTTAGTTGGAGAAGGGGCAGGGTGTCATTCCAGGGTGTTTTAGGTGGTTGCCCCGTGGTTGAGTCACCATGGAGCTGAAGCCATAAGGCTTGATACGGTGGATGTTGGGGAATCCAATCATTGGGTTTCTGAATGGTGGTGCGATTTCCGGATTTCGCAACCATCCACAGTAGGGCCCTCTTAGGGGCCATCTCAGGAACGGGAAGGGGGGGAAGGGGGCGAAGGGGGCGAAGGGGGGCGGTTCGCCGACTGGGGGAGACTACTCCAAAAAAAAGATGTTCAGATGTCTCGGAGCTACTCCGAGAATACGTTTTTCAGATGTGTCAGGCTTCGTCTACCCCAAAATACGTTCAGCAGTTTTGGAGGAGTTCGAACAGGGTGGTCAAAAAAAGACCCTGCGAATTAGTTGGAATGACCCTGACAAAGCCATCCCCAAAGTAGGTTCTGCTGGGGGGCTCCCAAAACGGCTCATTGCCAAAAAACCCAAGCTTGATTCCAGCAAGAAATGGGGGCATCACCCTGCGCCTCCAAAGACACATGCGAATGTCCGCTTCGACCCGCTGAAGTGACGCGAGAAAGTGCTCCGTGCATGGGGTCCTGACCTTTTCTTGGGGGGGGGGGGTCTAAAGCAACTCAAAAAAATGTCCTTCCCTTTGAAAAGATACGCCCAGCAGTAGACAAAAATCATGGCCCTACCCCTTTACCTCAAAGTGACCAACTTGAAACTGTGAAACCTGAAGGGGGTCCGAGTGCCTTTCCCAAGAATGGCTCGCTTTCCGGCTTCGGGAGGCTTCCTGAGACTAGGAAGGTGAATCCCCCTTGGCTTGCATTGCAGCACAAACGGTCAGTGTAATTTTGGCTTGCTAATGCATTCTTAACAACCTGTATCAAGTCGACTAGTGCCTGATGGGGTATGTTTTGCACTACTTAGTACAAAAGCGTTCACTGTCCAAAAGTTCACAGGCACAAGATGCAAAGACCGACCCAGTTTCACAGGGGTCCTTTGCCAGCATCTGTTCCCGGTAACAGTCAACCAGGGACGCCAGGTGGCCCTCCAAAAGGGAGGTGCAATTCCATGTTCAGGACAAAGGAGGAGAGGGTGGCCCCTTTGTGCGGCGAAATCGTTTGCAGAAGTCTGGATAGCTTCAAGAAAACACGCGCACACACACACACACACACCCATAGGTGGCCTTCTGGAAAAATAGATGGCCCTGGCAAATGGAACAACACCCATCCAAACCAGTGCCATCTATTTTTAACCACCTAAAAAGGACGCCTATGCTCACCCGGTTGCACATCTCCTTCCCCCGCCTCGAGCTCAATGTCCCGCAGCAGGCTCTTTTGGTCCTCGCCCGACTTCGCCTGGCATGAGGGTAGCTGCATCGCGAAGGGAGACTGTCCTCATCCTTGGCTGCGTACATCCTTTGCGTGCAGCCACCCACCAAACAGAAATGTGAGCCATGGGAACCCCTGTCTTCCCCAATTTTTTTGTGGGTCCCACGTGCTTCACTCCCTGGAAAATGTGTTTGTAGGCAGGTGGGTTCCAAACATCCCTCAAGGCGGGCTTCTTTTCGATGAGTTTCTTTCACTGTTCTTGGTATATGCTCATTGGCTTCAACACGAAACTTTCCGATTGGCCTTTCAAAGTGAGTCAATCTTAAAGGCACAACCACGTTCAGGTCTGCATGTCTGTTCTAACGCCCCCGTCCTCAAGTTGTCTCTTCAATGGGTTGCTGACATGATGTGTTAATTAACAAAAAACTGTAACATGGGAAATGTAGGGGGTCGCTAGTTGCTGAATGGGCAAATCCATTCAAGACCCGAAAACATGCACGAAATACGGGAAAGCCGTCCGACAACCAGGATTGGAAATGATTGGCACAGATGCGAACTTCTCGGGCGGTTTGTTTTCGCTTGGCTTGTTCGTCCCTCAGGTATTGGGATGAAGCTGCCTGTTGGGATTGGGGTGGGCTTGTGCTGGATTGGAGGGAATTCGACAATTCGGGTAAGGGTGCTTCAGGGTGCGTTTTAGGGTGGGCGTGGGGTGGATGTTGGGTTGCTTGTGAATGAGTTGAAGCTTTGAGGCTGCTGTGGGGTGTGATTTTGAGGCTAGTTTCGGAGTTGTTTCAGGACTTTTGGGTGTGGGTTTAGGGTTGTTTCGGGGTTGGCTTGGGGGTGGTTTACACTGTATTTTGGATTGGGCTTAGGACTGGATTGGGGCTGAGTTTGATCTGGTTTGGATGGTTAGAGCTGGTTTAGCTTGGGTTTTAGACAAGGTTGAAGCCAAAAGCCGCAAAAGCCCCCCAAAAAAAGAAACGACCAACCAACAAACCCAAATCACATGCTCGATGCTTTTAAACTATCAGTTGTCCAGGACACACTCAAGCGAAACTTGCAACTTGTGCTATTCACTCGGGCAACTGCATAGTTGCCTTCCACGCTTGCGCTCACTCAACGCATCTTTTCACGCGGCAGGTGCTCAGGAGCGAGCTCTTAAGATGTGCACCAACATGGGGCCCTCTCAACTGTCGAGCCGACTTGACCCCACTGAGCGAGAAAAGATTGGGGGCTCTGTTTTTCCACCAGTTTTTGGGCATAGTCGAAACATAGGCGACCTTCTGAAAAAAGAAAAAAACGATGGCCCTGGTAAATGGGTAATAAAACCAATCTAAACCAGTGCCACCTGCTTCTAAGCAAACTAACCGAGCAAAAGGACACCTGTGCCAAAACCGGCCTGGGGCTGGGGGAAAAAAAAAAGAAAAAAAGGTCCCAGGTCCCATCAACGCTTTGCTGAGCGATCCCTCAAGCCTCAAGCTTGGGGTGTCGGATCGGGGGGCCTGTGTCAAAGCCATAACTGGAGCTCGGGTGGCCATTGCGTGGCCTTTCGGGGGAAACACAATTCCATTCGCATCTTTTTTCTTCTCTGCCGGGAAAAAAGAAAAAGATGCCTGAGGATGAAGAACGTCAAGCTCTCGAAATGGTGGCTTTCAATCGTTGCAATCGAAATGCTGGCCTCTGCCTTTGACACGCCGAAGGTTCACGGGAAAGGGCATCTATCCCACTCAGACGATGGCAGCTTCAGCCTCAAACCCGCAGCAAGTCTGGGAAGTGATTCATGGGCAAGATTGATACACCGGCAGATCACTGGTCCATCTAAGAAAGTCTTGGGGTGTTGCCCCCGATTTTCCCCCAGGTGGCCCCCGATTCGAGTCTGGGACATGGTACCCTCCCGAGCAAAATCTGGGACCTGATCTCGAGACTTCCGCGCTTTCGTCCGAAGTCTCATGGCCAGTGCCAAGGAAATGAACCGGGTAACCATTTGCTCAAGCTCCCTGAACAAAATAAGAATATGTCTAGTAGTGATAGATTCCCTCTAAAACCGACGGGATAGATTCCCTTTAAAACCAACAGGGGAAAAAATAGTCGTTTCAGCAAATGGAAGGCAAGCAACCATGTGATGCAAGCTGAGAGCACCACGCCAGTGAAGGCGATCTGCCTCACAACCTAGTCGGCTCGAGTGGCTCGAGTGGCCCAGATGTGTCAAGAAGCAACCCCCTACACGAAAGCAAAAGGAGGCTCTGGTGCAGACTGGCTACTGATGTCTGGACAATTGCTCTTTACACATGTAACAAGAGGTTGGGCCAGTCAGCTTCCGTTCCGGCAAACGAAAGCGGAAGCATCGCCTGATCTCCGGAAAAAGGTCTGGTAAAACCTCCATGGATTGGAACCAAAACCTTACATGCGAGAAGTTTAGCCGGAAAAAGAAACCAACCCCTTGTCTGGTTGTCTTGAAATGGGGGAGCGCCAACGGGCCTTTACCCTACCCCACCCCAAGCGCCACCGCACCCTTCCGGCCGCCACATTCGCTGCTGTGAGGGAGTGAGGCAAAACCTGATATAGCATATCTATCCTGGTGCCCCTAAAACCCAACCAAACAATGAGTGTTTCAAGAACAGTGGGGTAGAACACACCCTCTCCTAGTTCCCCTAGGAAAACCAAAAATAAATGAGAGCTTAAAAGAACTGTGGTACTTTCTTTGAAAAAATACGCCCAGGTGGCATTTTCAACAGCACCGGAACCCCCCTAAAACTGAGTCTTCTTTTGAACCCTCGCTGATTCAGCTGCCAACCACACCTCTTATCACCAGCCGATTTGGACCAAACCCATAATGTTGACCCCATATGAATCAACTCCAGTTTAAAAATAGGGGGGGCAGGGTGTTCTTGGGTTCAGCAGGAATCAGACCACTTTTGGAGGGGCCCCACCCCCACCCCCTATCAATAAACTGAAAACGGTTGATTGATACGGCGTCAACTCCCTGTTTGTCCACAGGTGGTTTGAAGGAAGGTCAAAGGCGCAGAGACTTAAGACTTCATTGAAAAGGGGTCAACATAAGCTTTCAGCAGGGAACAAATACAAACATTATACATTATTTTTAACATTACTCTTGGTCTTTTTGATTTTATGTAGTACTTTTTCCTGTTTGTTGGGGCGGGCTTTTCCCGAATCGGACCGAACCTCCGCCTGGCCTGATACCAGGCGGTGATGGTCACCACCGTCATGAAGGCGGTGCAGGCCCCTAGGCCATAGACCTCAGTCGGTGTTCGAACAGTCGGGGGCCACGATTTGAAGGGGGTATGGTTTTTAAAACCATGAATTATGGACCCACTGTTTCTTGGGGTCACTCATGAATCGGGTGGGTAGGCCACAAAGTGGATTAGTAGGCCACAATTCATATGTTAAAAACCATGAATTATGGCCCCACTAGTTCTTTGTGAGAGAAAACTGGGGATTAGTTTGGCCATCATATTACTTCCGGCAAAAACCGTGTTGGCCTTGCCCAGACCATGTCCCAGTTCACCTGTCCATTGTAACCTTCTCGCCCCGTACCTCCCCAACCCTCCCCCTGTTTCACCAAGAGGCCCCACACAAATTCCGATCTTCTTAGAAAATGAGAAGGACCTCAGGGCTCAGGAGAGAAGGCCTCAATTGAGTCTGGCCTCCCCATTCTGCTCAAAGATCCCCAAAGCATGGCTACCAATCGCTGGAAAAATCGGTGGCTTTGGCAGTTTTGCCTGGATTCTCCCTGGAATTGGAACCGAACCCCAAGGAAAGCCTTCTCTACAACCTCCCCCACTCACCCAGGGCGTCGGCCCAGCGCGGCAGCGGCTTGGTGGACTTGGAAGGCTCCTGGACGAAGTCTGCCACGTTTTGTTCGCTCTCTCCCCCAAAGCGGGATCCATTTTGCAACATCAATCCCTAAAAAAAATCATGCCCTAAACCAGGGGTCACTGGATCTCCCCAAAACAACTCGCATTTTACTGGTGTCCATTGAAACTACCACTTTTGAAGGTTCCAGAACGGGAAATGGTTCAGAAGCCCTGAACAAGGCTCGTTAGTAGCCCACCGCACGCCAAAGGATCGGCCCCGGCCCTTCCCAACAGGTGATTGATCCATCCGAGAACTCCTGCGCCACGCCGTCAATGGGGAAGTGCTCCTGAAAGGCGATCTGCCCTAGGACCTGCCGGCGTATCGCGATTTTTCTGGGGCACCCCTCTCGGGTGACCCTCTCAAAATAGGGGCCCAAAAATTGGCTTTGTGTTCTCCCTTTTTCCCTAAGCCAAGCGGTTTCTCAAAAAGAAAAAACACACACTTATAGAGCGAGGCGTACTCGCTGTCAAATCACACGACATGAATGCAAATGCGAACAACCGAATCGAAGGACATTTTAAGAAGGAAAAGTCCAAGGGTTCATCCGGAGAATCAAAGGACCTGACAGCACAAATGGTTCTCGCAGGTACGTCGAGGTGATCAGCCTTGATATCCGCATTTGCTCATTTGCTGTGGCCGCTTCGTTGGAACATTTGGATGGTCCCCCTGCAAGGACTTTTGTGCGTGACCCAGCACGGTGCGCACACACACGCACACACAACACGTGATCTTGGCCGAAAATAGGCAACCCCAAGAATGTGCCTAAGACTCCGAAGACTCCGAAAATTCGAGGATTCCTCGCCAGAAATGTTGGTTTGGCCTAAGATTCCGCAGCTTCCGGGCTGAAGACTCCGAAGGTTTGGCCAAAACTCAAGGAAACATTGGCACCACCCCTACTAGTCATACAATTTGTTGTGTCGCCTTTGACATGAGAATTTGGTGAGTGTCCCCGATTTTCTAGTAGTGATTTGGTGATCGTGCCCTTGTCATCCCATTTAAAGTAGATGACAGATTTGAGCGGTGCAATAGTGATTCAGAGCCCACTTGGAAGGCAGCAAAAGCCATCGCAGCCATCAAGGACGATGGGGTGAAAACAAATGGCACAATTATCTCGATGTAATGTATTTGACGAATGACCTTTCGGGTGTTGG